ATTAGACAATTTGCGCAAATTCGAATCAATGTTCACTGAAAAGATTGAGACAATTAGATGAAACAATACGGGAAATAACTCAAAGTAAATGCAATCACAGTAACAATAATAGTGATGAAGGAAGGATAAAAAGATTAATATAACAAAGGGAGAAAACTGACAGGGGTAGGAACATGTTATGATCTTGGTGAAAATAGTGACTGTACATACTTCTTTTGTACACACAGACCAGGATTTAGTTCATGAATACCAAACGACTGAAAGAAAAAGAAAACATAGGAGGTGTTGGCGGATTCGATAAACAATATCAAAGTCATCGTCTGGTTTTGTTGAGTGATCCAAATCAACTAAATGTTCTAGTATATAACCTCTGAAAGACTTTCTCCTTTATCAAACCAAACCAGAAGATATCCCTGACCATGTGTAGAAAAAGTTTTCTAACTACGGTCGGTGTTCATTACTCTACAAGATCAGGCTAAATGATAGATGCACATAAAGGTGACTAGATTAGGGAAACTTGTTTATGGTTAGTAATAGTCAATCGAAGTCATTCTGAGAAGAACATTCTTTTGATTGATTTACACAGACATTTTTTCAATATATCTGATGTTTTCTCACCTTCAAACTCTAGATTCACGTACAATGTCTTCTTTGAAATCGAATGAGTCACCAGTTTGGAATTTATCGGCTTTCGATAAGCGTGTTGCATCAATACAATCTTCACTACAGATGTTACTTATTCAATAGTCAAGAGGATGAATAAGATTTCTTTTCTTTTTCATAGGCTTCAGCTATGAAACTTAGTTAGCTGTCCATTACACGTTGTTTTATGTAAATGATAAAAAGTAATGAACAAATCAAGAACGCTATCTTAATCAGTATCTTTATGACACACAACAAACGTGTCATCGATATATCTTTCATGAAGTGACTAACAATCTAGTAAATTTAGGTTTTCTCTAGTTTCGACCCAAGAAAATCTGCTAGCAATAGTTTGAATGATGACCTCAGAGTAATTCCTTCTTTCTGTGCATAAATTTAATCATTAAACCTGAATTGAACATTGAATTTGCATCCCAATAATAACTCCTTGAAACAGCTAGTTGGCAGTCCTATGTCCAAATTGTGTGCATCAACGTAGTAACATATATAACATACAGGCCTAGTCAGTGACACACTTGTGAACAATAAGACAACATCTGATGTAAGCATCGTGTACAAAGCATTGAAATTCCTAGTACTAACAACAAATTGAAATATATCACTTCCCGAAAAGGTAAATACTTGCCTTTCAATGCGTTCAGCTAACCACCGAGTAACTCATCTATAAGGAGAAACAGCCATACCCAGTATCATATGAAGAGGTAGACCTACTTCATACATTTTTGGTAATTCATATCGATGGGGGAATTTGAATAATCAGGTAATATCAGGTTTCCAGTAAAACTGATGAAGCAACACAAGATGTTAACATGCAGTTATTGCACAGTGGAAGAAGTAAGACAAATCTTGTGCATCCGCTATGATCAGATCACATCTTTAAGTACGAAAAGGCTAAGGCATTCGGCTGTTTCATATCGAAAAAAAGAGGATTAGGCAGTTTACCGTAATTAAATTTCAACTATTACGTTGAACGGTATAAAGTGAATTTCGGATGGTTGTGTATGCATTTGAAAGTAGAGTGGAATGAATAGGAGGTGGATGAAATAGGAGTGGGAAATCGTATTTATGTATATGCACATGTGATATATCCATGGTTACATAAATGAGAGTTGACTCTTGAACAATTGCCTTAAGCTTCATGCTTTGAGTTCTCCCGGTTTCTGAAAACAGAATGATGCGAGTAAACGATCAGAGGTTAATTTTCAAGTTCAAACTTACAAAGATGAGCAGTTCATACAAGTTTTCAATGCGCTTCATATTTTGAACACCTTTATTGAAGAACATTTAGCCAATCTGAAATACACACCTATGATCACATTGATTTGAGTGAATTTTAGCGTACCATAATTCACTGTGAAAGCTTTCAAGCAGTTTCGAATTTTTGTGAAGTATCTACAGGATATCGATTCCCAAATAAACAGTACATAGGTTTGCGACTTTTGAATGTAACAGACAACTGTATTGTTCCATAGGATATGTGGCGAGTCATGAAAGGCATTTCCAACAAACCACAGACATTCATCAACAGCTACCGCCTACTCCCGCTCGATACTGAAGATCAGATGGTCAGAATAATGAGAATAAGCAACAAGGAACTCTGGGAATGAACCAACGAAGTAAGAACCTATCATCCAAAAAATATGCAGAAGAAAGTGGAGATGATTGGTCATACACGGAGAAGACCATTCGGAGACATCACACACCAGGCCGGGTCGTCAAGTGGAATCTGAGTGGGAAACGACGAGTTGGGCCTCCGAGAAGAAAGTGATATGGCAGAGATCATGTGAGGAAGAAATGAAAGCTTGTGGGCAGTGTGAAGCCAGGCTGAAAAGACTGCAGAGAAGGAAGTAAAATAGAGGTGTCCTACTGAAGCCGTATGTTCCACTAGAAACCTAAGGGGAAAATAATTACAATAATAGGATATATGGGTAATATTCTTTGACTTGTAAAGCAATCTATTAGATACAATGCAGTATGATATACTTGACTACAGAAAGGTTTCAGACATCTATTTCTGAGCAGTTCTCATGTTCAATGTGAGTTTCTTAGTGATAAAGTTGGGCTGAGCAGCTTCAGATTTCGTCCATAAAATCCTTTCATCATTCAACGGTATTCAAAAGTCATTCTAATTTCATTAAATGGCACTTTATACGAAGTAGGATTTCATGAGAAGTTTTTTATGCAACGCGGGTCAAAATATAAACACAGTTCTATGCAGATTGGTATACACTTAGTGAATGAAAGATTTCTTGACCGAATAGGCCATTTCCTAATTTTCCAGCCATATCACAGTTGATAACTGTCTCATTAATCAAAGGTTTATCAGCTGATTTTCATTTTAAAACTGTTTTTGCTTTGTTATTCTGTTCAAGATATTCTGTGATGAGTTGTTGAAATCATCGATGTCAGTATAATCTCTTTCATTTTGGTTGTTTAAATGGTAACAATGAAAGTTTGTAAATATGTAACATTAAGCTGGAAGTAAGATATTGCTTAAAATGTAATAGACAAAAGTGAAACAATTAGTCTACTAATTACGTGATCTTAATATAAAGTGTACCGAATATTTCAGGTTTCCGTTCTTCTGTGTTTTAACTGAATGTTCTATGAATGTTACTTCAGTTGACTGTTACACATTTTTGTAGATGAACTAAGAATGAGAAAAATAGACACTTAGTACTTTCGTAGATGTCACTGAGAGGGATCTTTTCTTGCAATACAGACATTTTGTCCATATATCTCTAATTAAATGTGCTTTTTCATAAAAATTGCAAACATTCGAAGAAAAAGAGTTGAGTATAAAGTATATTGCCATCATAGAAGACAAAGTGAATTTTTACGCGTCTACACTTTTTCCATATGATTAACAGTGAATCCAAATGATAGTCACTGCAGTAAAATGATGATATTGAAACACAGAACAGTTCGATAGAATAGTTTACTATCATCCTTCATTTAGTTAGTCACAACTTATAAAGAAAGATAATGAGAATGCCTGCATATATGCATATATGAGGTGCACCGTCCTGAATCGTCATCGTTTCATTCTCTAGAATTATGAAAATTACAAACTAAAGACATAAAGCCATGTCGAAAATTCTGACTATGCATTGAAAATCTTTTCTATGGGAAACAGTGAGTAGGTAGCATTGGACAAAGAGTAGAATATGTATTGGTTATTAATGAAAATCCCTATTGCTTCCAACACGTCATTCGTGTCTGTCTCAAGTATACTCTTCTTCATTTTCACTGTGAATGCATAAAATTTGTTGATTCAGATTATTTAGAAAGTGGTTTGTTGTCAATCAGGCAATACAAAACCCCTTCTTACTTACTCCACTGTTTCATTTATGTTCACTACACTGATTAAGATGAAGGGCGCAATAGCTTTGCAGATTTTTGAAAACATTTTCCCCCTTTTCATCTACTCGATGTATGATGTTTCATTTCCAATGAAGATGACATGTATAAGTGGGTAAATGTGAAGTTGTTTTAGTATTGTTTGGTGTACGACTAGTTTCTTGATTAATGTTATTCACTAAATGATGAGTAGCTGTATGCTGAAGTGAGAAATGAAGTCTTTCGGTTTCAAGTCATTGTCTGATTCATTGGTTGTTCACTGGAGGATAACTAACATCATGTTGTCTAGTTTGAAGTGTTGATTGAATTCGAATGTTACAGGAGATCGATTGCAGTCTGAATAGCTCTGTGATGACGTCTCCGATATCCACACTGGATGACGTGGTTTCGAATATCGGACTGGAAAGCAGTTCAATCGAGGCTATTGATATGCCTTGCTGACGGGTGCCAGAAAGCACGGAATCAAGGTGTACGACGTCTTGTCGACCTCCTCATTCCAACTAACCTCCATCTCGTATTTCATGTTCATTTAAATATCAGTCGAATAAGTACTGCATCACTCACCAATTTACTTACCTGTCTTTTTATCCTGACCTTCTCTGTACTCATTCACTTATATTTGTTCATGAATTTTTCTAGTCTAAACATAACTTTCCTTTTCAATCACATGGATAACTGAAGTTCGTGAAGGGTTATTAATCGATAAGGAAACGTCACTGTCTTGCCGAAAATAGAAAGCATTCCAAATCCTAAATCTGTGTAGTTCTACTTCACTTGACGTATCAATGTGTATTTCGTTTTAATTACTCTATTACTTACACAGGTATTGCAACTTGCAAGCATTTCATTAATGACAATATGTGGTATATGTGCAACAGCGAATGAATATGAACTGATCACATGTTTCATTATATGTGTGTTTTCGTATATAAAAAAGGAATATTTTATAAATCACGCAACACTTTAATACTTATAATATGCAAAGAATGCTGGCACATCATAATATGCTCGTTGTACTGATTGCTTTGATAACTATTCCCAGTTTTGTTCATTGGAGAGTCTGTAAGTTTCATTTGGTCATTTTCTGTGTCATCACTGTCTGATTTTTGCAAACTCCTAGTTATGATGATTATTTGATTTGAAATTATAAGATGGGAATATAATAAGGCAGTTAGAGTGAAGACTGCCATGTTGCTGTCAATAGCACCTGATACACTTTCATGAAAGTCTTCAGACAGTCATAATTGTTTTTCTGCAAAAATCTGATGTTTGAAGTTATTTATGTTTAAATCTTTTCGATTTAGTCTCATGATTCTTGTAGTAAAGCCTTAGCATTATAACTTTGCTGTAGAATGATTGACTTATACTCAGGTTGGAGGCGTGTGATGAGATTCGACAGTATATTATTCTTCTTCTGAAACTATTTCTCAACTTTGCTATAGTAAAGATATATGTGATGATATCGAAAACAGAATGGGACCTTGCTTTCAGCTGATATATTTTATCAGGTCGTGAGAAAATATCACTTGATATTATAACAATTAATGATCACTCTGTTTCATACTGATGGAAACAGGTAAAGTGAGGATACATGAAATCGACAAGAAATCTCACCAACAGCTGACAGGAATTGTCACTAGGATATGTTGTTCAGTAACCGTCCATTTTTGCATATTCCCAAGATATTCCCATGTTTCGTCACCAAGTACAACCGAATGTTGTCTTCTGCTTATCAAGTTATTTATTGTAAACCCAGAGCAAGATATCACCTTGTCTGGCATAAGCCAGGGGTTTCCGAATATTTTAATGTTATACAAAGCTACCCTCGATGAAATATGTTTCATTGGGATATTCAACAAATCGAAACATTTCAACTGAAAAATACTATCTAGTTTCTGTTGGATATCTTCAAATTCCAGTTTCAGATATCCTACTTCAAGTAAACTGTTCTCCATATTTCGCATAATACTCACAAATTACTCATGTCATAACTTGCTTTCATTTAGCAACAGCTGCAGCTGGAATAGGTATGAATTCCACATTGCTTTCCATATTCCATATTTGTGTTGGTGTATATCGACCTTTTCATAACTTATATTTAAGCACATCAGATGACTCAAGGAAGAGACATGAAAGTGTCTGAATTAAGTGACGGTGCAACTAGTATAAGTATTTCATCAAATCGTGTATTTCGATCACTACATAGGCAAATACAAGTTGATTAGTGATTGAAATGCTGTGTAATATCCACTGCAATCACACGTAGATGCATTGTGTGATTACTAGTTATCTACACGTATATCTTCAATGGTTGTCAAATGACATTTCACATTGTTCAGGACAATGTTGTGACATGTGAATAGTTCTGTTGAAGCCTTCTTAATTCACAACTATTTCATTATATATTACAACAAATAATATGAACATGACTGTGCATTTCACATCTGTCATCTCGAGTGGAGGATTAAAATGTGTCTGTTCGTTATGTGATGTCTTAGTGGATATATGAAACTGTCATTGTTGCTTCGGGAATGAAGAAAGTATACGATGAACCAAAGGATTAGGCTGCCATATACAGTCATTCCATGTACATAGCTTTCTTATTTTCTCAAATTTACAAGCTAACTTGAGTTTAAAAAGCAACCACATGATGGGAGGGCGCGAGTTCTCATCGGTGTCTGTAGACCCGTTCAAATTGCAGGTTTCCAACCAACATTAATTTACTCCGATAAGACTGACTGTGATCAACAGGCTAATTTCAGAATTTTATCATCACAACCATACCACTGATCATGTGGACATGTGACTGTTTCCAATATGATATCGGAAACTTGACACTAAACTATACGATGAAAGACTTTTTCATGGAATACTGAATCAGTTAGTGATTTGATAGATTGATTGAATTCGGACATTGACCAGATGATTATAATTACGTATAATACATATAATTACGTATTTCTAGTCTCCAATAAATGAATAACAACCTAGTTTTGCTTTTCATTCATCTGCATGATAGATAACAGAGTGATAATAACCTTTAAATTATCGAGTCAAAGCACGTGATATTTACACGGAAAAATCTTCCATCCTCTCTTTTAACTCATTTTATTATGCCATATGTATCCTGAGCTTAAAACATCACTTAAATATAGTAGGAAGCCAAGAAACACAGCCTACAGAGTGAGTTCATTCTTGCATGTTTTCAAAAAACTGTTCATATGATGATAATGATGATCTCATGTTGTATCAATAACTGACAAGGCTGAAAATATATTCGAGTTGTGATTTCAGAGGAATATAGCACCTCATTGCGTGGGTGCCACGTCTTCTTATCCTACACTGAAGTAGTTACTTAACTATCTCTACATCGTGTTTAGACGTTCAAATATTCAACCAGCACTGAGACTCAATAAGCCATTTGCTTACAGATTACTCAGTACTTTCAAAGTTAACTGGAACCTGAAAGAATGATTCACACAATTCCGTGTTGAGTAATTTCAGTTGAGATAGCAGTCATCAGAAATGTAATTATTAAGGAGGCTTAAGGTTTTTATTGTATCGGTATATAAAGAAACAACATACATAACTTTACCTAAGATTTCTAGTTATGCTCAGGTTACAGTCACATTTAAGTCATACGAATTCGGTAACAGACAAAATTTGTCGCCTTCAGAATTGTATTGACTCGTTGCAGTCAAGCAATTCAAGTTACCAAATACTGCGCAATGACTGTGAGATCAGGTACACAGGTCAGTCCAAACAGGCTGAATCAATCAGTTAGGCGCAGCATGAGGATTTATAATCAAACACAACCATAAGCTCCACGATAATAATTAATCGAGGAAGAAGTTAGTCGTAGTTATATATAGTGGGATCTAGAGAGGGGATGACTGTATAATTACTGTTCTTAGAATACCTGCCAGACATATGACACTGGAATGACTGAACGCCGAATTTCTATCACCAATGCAATCAGATAACAGAATGCATAGAAGCTGTCTCAACTAAACAGCGAGCACAAGCTTTTACAAACGCATTTGTAGCAGTGTGAAATATATTTGGCATGGAAAAAGTTTATGGGTATTTCTATTATTTATATCACGATCATGTGACAGTATGACCTAGGATGGATATAGTATCATTGTGTCATGTAATCAAATGATGTCTTTGTTAATGAGACACCTTAATATTTATACTGGATGGTGATTGAAGGTGAGATAAAAATTTGCACTCGGTGGTCTCTGATTCAAGTCCCACTGCGGTCCACATTTTCATGTCACCTTCAATCATCACCAAGTATCAATACAGGTCTGTGAAACCATCACTACCCCAGATATTCAAAATGATAATTTAGAATTTCCTAAGATATTTCCATGATTTAATTCTGTAGACAAAACTCCAAGTAAGATGTGTGATATTTAGTGGTGCTCATTGTCAGTTGTTCAGCCTGATTTCTGTGATAAAGCTGTTTGTATTTCGAGTGTGATATACAGATATACGGGACGTTTGATGATCATGTGTGCACAGACTTGATTCCATGGAATCTGTTTTGTGTTAATTCCTATTTTTTGTGAATAATCTGAATGTACCAGTCGCCAAATGAAATATAAACAACCAGTAGTGTTCAAATAAGCTTCAGTGAGTATGAGGTCGTGTTATTAGCTATATATGGTTGAAAGTTTGTAACAGCCTGATAATCATGTCACCAATGATTTTTTTGGCAATGAGAATGAGAAAGTAATGCGAATTATACTGTGGTTGGACACTGTATGTGAACACTCACTTTATTCATCTCAACTCATGGTAGGTCTCATCTACATAATGCCATACATATTCACCTCACTTATATTCCAACTAAAGTTATCTCATTGCATCGAATACACACAGAAAGCATTGTATAAACCCACCAGGTGAACGGCTACATTTTGACCATGCAAACTGAAACGCTTCTGAGTATATTACTACCATTAATCTGAATGAATTGATGGCATACCTGAACAGCTTCAATACTATCAACATCAGAAACTCATCACCTCATATTACTTACTACTTCGAGAGGTAGTGTAACTTATATGCAGATATGTGTGGATCTCTCAGTTGAAGTGAACAACCAAACTTTCGGTATGTAAGAGGACTTCTGATCAGTAGTAATGGATGAATCTCGTGATAACTATTCATATATCCATGTAAAAAACAAATAGAAAAGTTCCAATTGGACTTCACATCATAACACCTGCAATTCAATACTGGTCTCCGAGATAAGATGAAAGACTGTTGCATTCCTTGCAGAACAAGTAAGTGTACACTGCAAAATAATATTCCATTGGTTGACATTCATTGCTATACTGGCGTGCAGTTGTAATGATGAATTGCAGACTCCACTTGATACACACTTGAGTGATAGAGTGATTCAAATGCAAATTATTACGGCCTGAGTTATCCCGATAGTTGTATACTCTTGGAATTTATCGAATTGTTCATCACTGCCCATTTCAATTTATGCATCTAAAAATATACTTCGTTTTGACAGAAGCTCATTCTGGAAATGGCTACAGTAAGTAAACCATTTTGTTTACAGCCGATACAAACAATATTTGGGTCTAAATTTCATTCTTTCGAATTAAAGTCTGCTTATTACTTCCTAATTTGAAATGAGATTGATTTATCTCGTCCATTAGATGATATTTTTGGGTACATGTGATGAAGTAGATATTTCACCAGCCGAAACTCTACACAGCCTTGACTTCTTCAGATGAACAAAAGCTCATTGATTATTGTCTATTCCAATGACTTCTTATGCAGTTGTAAAATAAATTAGCACTATGTGTTGAATTCCATTCTCTACGTCCAAGATGAACATCAAATACTTTTACCACAGCCATCATTTCTCATGGTTTGATTACTGATAGATGTGTTCAGAATTATAGATAACTTCCGATAGCATGTGTTTTAATCGCTTACTAGAACATAGTGAAAGCTGAAATGCAGCTGAATGAAAAATCATGAAATCATAGTAAATGAAAATATCATTGAATGTATTCATTTGACGGCTTCGTTGAGTTATTTCTGCAGACCTCCTACATTTCCTCGGACATCAGAGACTCTGTTGTACAAATCTAGTAAAGTGTTTATTGTAAATATTTTGAGGATGCTCCTGAAATATCTGATGCAACTAACGTCAACCCTGTTATACATTGATAATCACACTCAGGCATAGGACTTTTGTATACCATACCTTATTACACTACCATACTCTGAAACGTTTTCTTCATTTTCTGTTCTGTATAAAGGTGGATATTGTCCGTGTTATGGTGAGTCATCATATTTCTTTCGAATTCAAAAACTTGAGCCATTTTCATGCTCATTCCTTTCCCGGAAAGTTAGTCATAGAGAAAAGTCCTGTCTTTGACAAAATCGTTCACATAGTACTATACATGTCTTGAAAATAACTAGAAAGGTGTAGAGGAAATAAATGCTATTCATTTGACGCATGTTATATTCAGGCATTTCTAGAATGAAATTATTTACCTCTCAGTACTGATCTTTTGAATCGCGCTAGGTGAATTCAGGTATGCAACCTAAAATCTACAGTTAATTAGTCCGATATGATTGAAGTAGAAACCACAGTACCTCGACTTTGGTATGGATGACAAATAGTAGAGCAAAATTTATATCATACTAAGGCCATGTGCCTCTGTTCTCTATTTCCCTCAACAAATAGAAAATCTGAAAAACTTTGAATTAAACAGAAGGGTCCATTTAGTGAAAATCCCTACTGACAGATCATAACGATGGGAAATATTTCACTGTTGAGTGTCAGCAGTCATCGGCGAGAAATCCCAGACTGAGATCGCTTGATAGTAAGATCTGAAACGCTTCACTGAGTGACACAGGCTCGACCACCACTTTCTTATTGTTTGCAGATACATATCTCTGATGAATACCAGCAAGCAGGAGATCCAAAAAATACAGAGCATCTCATCTCTCAACTGCTGACAACTAACATTAAAATAGATTGTAGTGTTACGTCACACAACTCACTGGTAGTTTCACAAACTTTACTGAAGAACTTCAATTGGCATTGAACACTGTTGATTATGTACTTCCATCAGTTACTCACGAGTGAATGCTTTAGGGATTGGATATATTAGCATGTAGCGTATTTCCATGCGGACGATTGAGTGTGAGTTCCACGCTGATAGATTGTAACCGTTTTTGACAACTCAGGATTTGAATCCTACGAATGATCTGTGAGATATTTCAGCAGGTGAAAACAGAAAATAGGGAAACAGGATCCATGAATTCAAACAAAAGATTTTTAGAATTCATGGTGAAAACTCTTTCAATGGAATTTGCTATATACTGAGGAAACAAACAATTTTAGTTACTATAATCATTGTCCGATAAAGTATTATCTCCATATTTTCTACAATTTGAACTTCCAGTTTGATTTATAAGATCTTGTGAGTGATTAAATGTTTTCAAACTTGTTTGATGATATCTATTGAATACTTTGTGCATTGAAATCGACATTGCCACATTTACATCTAGAAAAGTTAATTAGTGAATTTCATGGTGATTGTCACTTTGTTACAAGTCACTTCTCCTCACCTATTCACACAACTTGAATAGAAATCTCAGTATGTCTGTCATGTGATTTGCATTTGAATGTGAGATATTGCTGTAGATCTGGTCTGTGTACAGTCAGTGACTTGATGAAATGGCTGGTTGTTGAGGAAATTCGAGCAGTTCACTATGCCTCATTAGAAAGCAATGAGACAGTTGCTAAATATTGAAATCCTGAGAGATCTCACTTCTCTGATCACATGTGTCGTCATGATATTATTTTTGAGCGGTCAAATCCTCGTAAGACCGATTTTGGGGCTAGACAAAAGATACTAGTTATGGAATGCAATTCAGTGGATGACGTTTTTAACCTTCTTTCACTGACTGAAATGGTTAGGATGTGAGTTGTGCATGTCATGCCACCGTCTACTTCAACACATGGCATCATCCTCAGTGGAACTAATTTGTAGGAGTCTAACGGTTTCCAGAAAAGGAAGCGCCACTAGTCGCTGAAATCTATGAATTTTGTTCTATATCGTGTAGGGAAGTGTGAACAATTTGGCCGAGGTAATGGAGGTTATAAAAATTAGTGTTTAAAGAGTCTTGGTGATAAAGTTGAAGACAGCTCCGATGCCACAAAATTTTCATCCCTTTATCATCTTCAGTTTCTTTAATACATTCAACAAACACCATCATTTATTTCTTCCCTTTTTCATGCGAATTCATCTGTCTCTATGCCCCTTTGTCTATCAATGTCTTCTTTGACTACTGCAGTGAAACGTCATATTTCAGTTAGTTGCTTTTTCCTATGAGTTTTAATGTCTACCAATTGTACACTAATGAAACATTCGTGTACTTTCAATCACAAACAAATGGTAAGCTCATTTTCAGAACACAAACGAATGTAGAGAACTTCTAATCATTGAGGGGTACTTCCACTTCATTCTGATAAATGGAATATGTCGGTGAACAAAATAGCATAAAATTGGTCCAACTTTTTATTACCGACTGGTTAGTTCACTGGCTGTTTTGAATCTTCGATTGTTATTTGTTGAATATTAACCTTTTTTCTTATCGTAATGATCGCGATTTGAACAATCAGTTAGACATTGCAGCTTATCAACTAAAATGTAGAATGCACTCTGCTGTTAGGTATTGTTTCCATCCAGCCCTATGGTGCAATCTCGATTCTTGATAGATATATCACACCGGCTATGGAGAAATGTATTCCGATTACACTATGAATCAATCAGAAGCGATTCGCATGTTGAAATTTCGTCTATAGAAGATGATTGTACTGTAAATCTGGTAGTAAGTCAACAGTTAATTGTCTTTCATGTTAATGCTGCACATGACAGCACATTCTTCAATGATAGAGGTCTAGATATGACTAGTGAGCTAATTTTCGACATTAGTAAACATTGCTATACCTCGTCTAGCCAACTAGTTCACCAGTTACTAGCCCATCCTAAGCCCGGATAAACAGAGAAGGTTGGGCATAGGGCTAGCAACTCTACCAGAAAACCAATCCAAACGTTAAACAAACTTCAAAGCACAGACAAAATACAAAAAATTAAAAAAACTTATTCCTCGCTGGAATCGGAGAGACGAAATGACGCCGGTTGATGAAAGCTTTTGGGAAGCCAATCGGCCGATGTGTCTTCTCTCGCTCGATGAAAGCGAAAGTAAATATGGGGACATGGAATGTCCGCACTATGTTGAACCTATGAAGCTGTCCAGATTGAAAAACAGATGAAAAGATATGGCATAGAAGAATGTGGAGATGGAATGGAAGTGAACTGTCCAAACTGTCAACTGGAGAGTCAATAATCTACTCCAATATTGTCATCCAGACTACAACCACAAGCATACTGAGTTCCGGAATGGCTATCATGATGTCACCAAGAGCATTAAAGACTCTCTCTCATGCAGTGGGACCAGTCTCCTGTAGGATCATGACAGCAAGATTCAAATCAAAAGGAAGGAAAGTCACAACCATTCAGTGCTACGCTACGCATCTACAAATAATACAGATGAAGAGAAAAGGGAGGAATTCAACAGGCAACTGCAGTCAAAATTGGTCAGACCCCAGTCTAGTTGGAGACATCAGAATTCTGGTGAGTGGGGTGACATGAATGCGAACTGGGAGCGAACAACACAGGAAGAGAACTCATCATGGGTCGAGAAGCATTCAGTGAGGTGAATGAGAATGCAGAACTGTTCGCAGACTCTGAGCACTTAATGATTTGGTGATTAGAGGCAGTGTGTGCAAACAAAAGGAAATTCACAAAACGACATGGATTTGATTTCACCAGATGGACGCACCAAGAATCAGATCGACTTCACGTAACTGACCTTTTAGTGCAAGGAACCTTCCAAATCAAGTTGAAAGCCTTGAAAGAAGTTGGTGATAGACCATAGTTAAAGGTCAAAACTCAGAACAGAAACTGAATGAGGAAACTACAAAGGACATCACGTCAGCCATCAGAACAAAATGGGAGATATTGAGCAACATCCTCGAAGAAACCACCGTAGAAGAACACTAAAGCTCTTTGAAAGAGATGTGGAAAGAAACCTGTATAACTGTTTTAGGAGGGAAAGATAAAGAAGACAGAGAACGGATCTCGATGGCACATGAAAGCTGATAGGGGAGGGAGAGGAAGATGGTGAAGCATAGAATGAACCATTGCAGTATAGGGAGGAATAACGTAAATAGGAACTGAACACAACCTATAAAACACTATACTAGACAAAAAATAATGAAGATTGCGCGCAAAGACAACAGACACTTCTTCGACACACTCGCAAGTGAAGCAGAACAGGCTGCTGGCAGGAGAGACCTGAAAAATCCGGGAAAGAAGCATGACTAAGTAGCATTCCGCCAGAAGTACTAAAAACAGACTCAGAGACAACACGCGACATGATCACACTACTATTGCAGAAAGTTTGGAAGGAGAGAAGGAGAGGTTTCTGCAAACCGACTGCAAGAAGGGCAAGTCTGTCAGACTCCCAAAGATAAACGACCAAAGTCTTTGATAGAACTGTCGCGGAATCATGATACTGTTCAGCCCGAGTAAAATGTTAAGCAACATCATCCTGGAGAGACTAAAGAGAAAATGTTCTGGATACAAAATTACGACCGGAACAGGCTGCAGGCCACAGGAAAAACAAATCGTGTGTGGACCAAATTCCAACGCTACGCATCATCACAGAAAAGCAAAATATCTACCTGAAATTCATCGATTTTGAAAGGGCCAACGACAGCGTCTACTGAAAAGTAAGTTGGAAACTGATTCAACACTATGAAGAACCATAAACATTAATCAATTTCATTCAGCAGCACCATGAATACTCCACATACCAAGTGATTAAAAACAAAGCTCAATGACAACATTGAAGTGAAGACAGGAGTAGGAAAAGGCTGCCGCATACTATCAACCATGATACTCCTCATTACGGTCAACTGCACTCGACTGCACTGAATCACACAACAAAATATCACGAACAAGAATATGCACCTACACTGTTCGATCCATGAAAAAACATCAGAAGAAGATTTGCATTTCGTCAATGATGATCCATGCCTAATATCTCGTCTCACAAACTCGAAGATCTACAAGCAAAAAACAACAAGTTGACAGAAGAGTTAGAGAAGGAAGACGGAACTTCCTTCAGCTGAACGAAGAGAAGGCAAAGGTGATGAAGATACACAACCATCACCATGAACACCACCACACACCAACACCAACAACAACAACAACAAGAAGCAACAATCACCATCAACACAGAAATCGAAAGGAACTTGTCTCTTCCATCTACCATCCCAGGCAACATCGTTTCAAATACAGGCGACATAAGCACAAATGAGAATGTCAAAGTGAGGATCGGGAAGACAAGAAGACAGGCATTCCTGCATCAATCTGAAATAATAATCAATGTGGAGATCTACTGCACTGCACTGCACTGCACTGAACTGCACTCAGCATAAAGCGTGAGCAACATACCGATTTTCAACACCAATTCAGTCAAGTAACTCAGTGCTTCTAGCTGATGGTTGAGAGATTTGGTGGCGTGTCACGAAAAGCATTTGCAACAAACCACAGACATATGTGATGAACATCTGCCACCCACACTCACTCCATACTGACACTGAAGATCAGATCAGATCACATCAGATCAGGTGAGATCAGTCAGATGAGATGAGATCAGATCAGCTGGTCAGAATAGAATAATGAGAATAAGGAACAAGGAACGTTGACTGGTTGGCTGGCTGGTGAGCTGGCTGGCTGGCAAGGAATCAACGAAGCAAGAAGCTATCGTTCAACACGTATGCAGAAGATTGTGTAGATGGATTGGATTGACATACAATGAGAAGATTGTCTGAGGAAATCATGCGTTAGGTGAGACCAGTTCGTCGAGTGAAATCCAAATGGGAGATGATGAGTTGGGTGTCTGAGTTGAGAGGGACGTGGAGGCGATGATGTGAGGAAGAAATGAATGCTTTTGTGAAATGGAGGAGTCAGGTTGAAGTGAGTGCGGAGAAGAGAGTGAAATGGCGACGTGCTACTGAAGCCGTATATTCCACTAGGAACCCAAGGGATAAAGAATAATAATAAATACTTCGTTGTGTACTAAAACAGTACATTGCCTGTATAATCGCATTACTACATAAACGTTACTACCTAATCAATCTGCATTCCTGCTTTGTTGTATGATTGTTAGCTGTTCCGAATAGATTCAATTAAATTAACTAGAATTTGTTTCAGCATCATCAGACTGTTTCAAAGAGAACTAACGAATAATAATAGAATGTAGTCAGCTCCTGTCGGCTTCTTGCTCCTCGCCAGCGTCCGGTTCACTGCTGACTTCAGTATCCACTGCAAGTGGGATATATGACCAGAGAGTTATCAGGAGTTATCTCTCACCCATAGCCAGAGAATAACGCTAATAATTTTTAACATTACAAGATTTTAGAAATAACCGTTCAGTCAACTAGTGACAGAATGCCTTTCGTTATGTCAAATATATATGATGCACACTCTACCACCTCTAATTCATTCCTCTCTGAGGATAATGTTGAGCAACACTCAACAATAGAATAAATTGTTAAGTATATTTCAAAAAAAAAACAAAGTTTGCGATGATTTTCATTTAGAGACTTGATTTATGTAGATCATCCTTTCATTTTCTTATCTCTGATTTTCATTTTATATATGTTCATCAATGTTAGAACCCGATGTACGATTTCTTCTTTTCTTTTTCTGATATATTTTCCTTTTTTTTGCAGTGGTGGTTTTTTAGGATAAGAATGATAAGTTGCACTGAAATGAAACTGAGAAGTATTTTCTGTAAATTCTTCATGAAGATCTCATCATTCTCTTTATTAACGGATATATACTAACTCCATACTGATGGTTATATTTCTGACTAATGTCAGTTTTCTGTTATTTTACAAGTAATAAATCATCTTATACTGTATTCGTGTTTCTTTGTTCCGAAAGGATATGATAGTGGACAAGCAGATCGGAATTGAAATTGTATGCTTTGCAGTTTATTAATATAAGGCAGTGGGTATTTCTTACTGAATGAATATTTTTTGATTTACACATAGAAAAAGGAAGGAAAAGATTTAAAAAGATTCTATACGCCGTGCAGAAGGTGAGGTAAGCATCAGCTTGATTTAAATTATTAATTCTTCTAGGGTTTCTAGTGGAATATACAGCTTCAGTAACACGTTGCTACTTCACCCTCTTCTCCGCACTCACTTCAACCTGACTCCATCACTGTCCAGAACATCCCATATATTCCTCACACCACCACCTCCATGTCACTCTCAACTCAGACACCCAACTAATCATCTCCCACTCGAATTTCACTCGACCAACTGGTCTCAACTGACGCGTGATTTCCTCAAACCATCTTCTCAGTGTATGTCAATCCAATCCATCTCCACACTCTTCTGCATACGTGTTGAACGATAGCTTCTTGCTTCGTTGATTCGTTGCCAGCCAGCCAAACAGCCTGCTAGCCAGTCAAAGTTCCTTGATGCTTATTCTCATTATTCTATTCTGGCCAGCTGATCTGATCTCATCTCATCTGATCTGATCTCACCTGATCTGATGTGATCTGATCTGATCTTCAGTGTCAGTATGGAGTGAGTGTGGGTGGCAGATGTTCATCACATATGTCTGTGGTTTGTTGCAAATGCTTTTCGTGACACGCCACCAAATCTCTCAACCATCAGCTAGAAGCACTGAGTTACCTGACTGAATTGGTGTTGAAAATCGGTATGTTGCTCACGCTTTATGCTGAGTGCAGTTCAGTGCAGTGCAGTGCAGTGCAGTAGATCTCCACATTGATTATTATTTTAGATTGATGCAAGAATGCCTGTCTTCTTGTCTTCCCGATCCTCACTTTGACATTCTCATTTGTGCTTATGTCGCCTGTATTTGAAACGATGTTGCCTGAGATGGTAGATGGAAGAGACAACTTCCTTTCGATTTCTGCCGTTGATGGTGATTGTTGCTTCTCGTTGTTGTTGGTGGTGATGGTGATGATTGTGTATCTTCATCATCTGTGCCTTCTCTTCGTTCAGCTGAAGGAAGTTCCGTCTTCCTTCTCTGACTCTTCTGTCAACTTGTTGTTTTTTGCTTGTGGATCTTCGAGTTTGTGAGACGAGATATTAGACATGGATCATCATTGACGAAATGCAAATCTTCTTCTGATGTTTTTTCATGGATTGAACAGTGTAGGTGCATGTTCTCGTTCGTGAAATTTTGTTGTGTGATCGAGTGCTGCTAGTGCAGTCGACCGTAATGAGGAGTATCATGGTTGATAGTATGCGGCAGCCTTGTCCTTCTACTGTCTTCTCTTCGAAGACATCACATATTAGTTCGTTTACACTTACTCTTACTGCTTGCTACAGGTGACAAAGTGAATTTCAAATTTGTATGAATCATTTGGAATTTAGACGTGAATAAACTTGATTAGAATATAATATGAGTTAGAAATTCAATTTTTCTCTAAGGATTGATACCACCAGTAATTTCTAGAACTGATATAATTTTACTTCTGTATAGTATATATGTTAAAAATGTTTGATTGGTTGAGGCATGTGTTGTTGTACGCAGTACGTTTTATTTCATTACAGGATCTATACATTTCTGAACAAAGCGTCAGTTTTCCATTAGATGAAGATGAAATGAACGGCTTCAGCAGATTTCATTTGTAAAACCTTCAGTTATACGAAAGGGATCGGAAGTCATTCCGTGTTCACTAAATGTTATTTTTTAAGAAACAAGTTGTTGCGAGAAGATTATTATGTAACCGCGATTGAACTGTAAGTACCATTCTTTGTGATGTATTACACACTTCTGTGAATGAAAGAATTTCTGATGGACTAGGATATTTCCTTATTTTCTAGCTGTAGCAAGAATGATAAATTTTATGCCGATTCGAAATTTTTAACTGTTTATCATTTTAGAACTGTTTTCTCTTCGTTATCTTGTTAAAGATATTCGATGATGAGTTGATGGGATAACGCGTTCAGCATAATGTTTGCTTCTGTCGTATGCATGACAACAATGAAAGCTTAATTATATCTAGCATCATGCTGAAGGCAGGTTATTGCTTAAAATGTTATAAATTGAGTTGAATTGAATATCTCAGGTTTCTATTTTCATTTGATATAACTAAATATGCCATGAATGTTAGTTCACTGTAAGGCAGCCAATATCATATTGATCAGTTCAAAGTATTGATTGGGTTCGAATCTTACAGGAACTCAGTCGCAACCCAAACAGCTCTTTGATAACATCTCCAACTGCTGCACTGGATAATTTGGTGTCAAATCTCGGAAGAGAAATCAGTCAAATCGAGTTTCTAGATACGTGTACCAGAAAGTACAGAATTGAGACTCAAGTTTCGTGCCTATAACCACCATCCAACGAAAATCTGTCTCATAATCTAATATGCACCTGCATATTACTTCATAAATTTTTTGGACTAGAAAAATAGCTTTCCTTCGTAGTTACGTGTATGAAATTGATAACTGAAACTTATGAGGAAATCTAAATCGATTAGAAAACGCTACTGCTTGCCAAAAACACAAAGAATTTATAATTCAGTATGTTTGGTGTGTTTTTTCGGTTTACATGTCAATGTATAGTTCAGTTGAATTACTCAGGCAACTTGTCTCATGTATGATCTATTGTTTACACACTATGTTTGCCAATATTTCAGCTATTTCGATCGCAACAATATATGCTTGAGGTACAGCAGCAAATGAATGTGAACTGATCATATGACTCGTCATATGCCTAGTTGTATATAAAAAGGAGATATTTAATCAATCATAATCAAAGAATGCAGTTTCAGTATACTATGCTCTTTCTGCTAACTGCTTTAGTAACTGTGTTCAACACTGTTGAGTTGAGAGTCTGTGAGTTTCATTTAGCCGTTTTCTTTGTTTTCAGTATTTCCCTTTTTGCAAAGTTTCTAGTTACGAAGTTTAGTTGTATCGAAATTTCGACTTGAAAACTTAATATAAGAAGACGATGAATATAGATGAAGTGCTTTTTAGTAGCATTTCCACAGTCTGAAATTCTATGGACAGTTGTATATTTTGAATTACTTCAACTGAAAATTTTGTTTTCAGATACATTTGTGATTAAATCTTTTGATTATATCTCGTCATTTTTGTTGTAGAACTACAGTGAGCTTCCCTTCCGTATAATCTTTAAATATTCGTTTAACGTACCGTCACCTAGTGAAGGTATATATTGTTTTCCGGTTTTCCACCGCTGAACTACTTACTACAGCAAACTTTTCGTTTTGTATAACCAGAAAGATTCAAGATGTTTTGAACGGAATGTAAAGCTATGCTCACAGATATATAGTACCTTGGTAAATTCAGAGCCTCGGGATTTTTCAAGTTACAGTTGCGAGTGAATGCTCCTAGACTGTCTCCATATTTCACTTTAAAATATCGTACTTCGAGTAGAGTGATACCTGTATTTTACATAGTACAAACGACTAATGTTATAACATGCCTTGAGGTTAGCAACAGCTGCAAACGACTCATGTATGAATTTTGTACAATGTTGACTTCAACATTTGTGATATCGGTTGTTTATTTGAATGGTATACAAACTTTTTTGAGTATAGGAGATAAAAATGAAAGAGGCAACATGAATATGTTTGAAAACATTGATGGGGCAAATGAATGGGTATTTCACTAAACTGTATATTTTGACCGCAATATGCGCAAATACAAGTTTATTATTGATTTTTATGGTGTGTAATGTGCACTCCCATCACATGTATGCAAACTGCATGCTGATAGTTTATCTGGACGTAAATGTTCAGTGGTCTTCAGATTATATTTCGGACTATTTAAGATATGTTGTGGCACATAAGCAGTTCTTTGAGAGTTTTCTCCAGTTATAACAAAATTTTATTACATATCTCATGGAAGAATGTGAAAATGGCCATTCATAAAACAGTTTTCATCTCCAGTGTGGGATTGAAACTTACCTGCTCGTTGTTTGATGTCCTAGAGAATATATGGAAATGTTATCATTACTTCAGAAATGTATGTTCATCTCTTACACGGATTCCTATTTGTATGTAATCATTCTGTCTGAGGATGTACACGACCGATCAAGGGATCAGGCTACCACTAACTGATATATATTGCATATAATAAACTTCATATTTTCTATAAGGTACACGCTCACTTGATTACGAAAATCCGATACTGGACGTTGCATTATGAAATTTTATCGATGTCTAAACGCTTGTTCAGCTTGTGAGTTGCTAACGAATCTCATTTCACTTCGATGAGACCGATATTGATCAAGTAAAAAATAACAGTTTTATTATCACCAGCATGAAAACGGTTTTGCGAAGGTGTGACTATGATATAGTATCAGAACCTTAACACTAAATTATACAACAAAAAATTTTTAGTGGAATACAAAAAACAGTTAGTGATTTGATGGATTCAATAAATTCAGACATTGTACAAACGATAATAGTGATTTTGGTATTTCTGATCTTCAATGAATCAACAACAACCTGGTTTTGTTTTCATTCATTGCAAAGTACAAAAAACAGAATGATAATGACCGTTAATTTGCCCAGATGATTCAGATTGTTAGTTACTATTTTGTGCATGGAAAAATCTTCCATCCCTCATTAAAATCTTATATATATAGGACTTATTCAACACCACTGAGAAACAGCAGGGAAAAGGAAACGTAGTCTCGAGTGTGAGTTCATTGCTGTACGTCTTCAAAAGCAGACCATTCGATGATAATGGGGATTGGATGTTTTATCAAATATTGAGAAAGCCTTAAGCATATTAGTGTGATGTTTTCAAAGAAATATAGCTGTCTATCATAATGATGTATATAGGTTAAATCCAATACTTTAACACTGTATCATACTGAGCTCTTTATTTCGAGCACAGCTCAGCCAAAAAATGTGTAGATGTTTCTTTAAACTGTAGCTGTTTCTGGTATTTCATATTTCAGTCATACATTAGGATATAACAGATTTTTCATTAGATAAACTGAGACCGAACATACAAGTAGGCAGTTGAAAATATTAAGTCTAGTAATAACTGACGAAATTCAATAGCTGCATGATCCTTCACAGATTGTTTTTCAGAAAATACATAAAACTGGAGGAAATACACGATGAGTTAAAGCTGCCAATTTGAGTTATGATTCAATGAGGCAAGACACAGGAGTATCTATCTTATTTGGTGAAGTGATTTCGTGAACAGAATCCCGGAAAACCAAGTTCTCATAACAAATTAAGTTTATTTGTGATATGTAGCTTTTGGGAAGTAGAAAAAACGTTTGGATTTCTATGATAACATTATTCAAATGTGTAGGGAAGTAATACTAGTTTCAAACTGAAACAGAAACTCATTCTGTTAGGTTTTCAATGCGATGTAATCTTTACACTTATAGAAGTTAGGTTTAATGGGTCCTCTGTCGTGTGTTCACTAGTGAAATTGATAGCGCAATGAAAATCCTTCAGTGACTGATTACATTGAGGCTTACGAGCAGGGCTATGAGATAGCAAGTCTATCCGGAATATAACACTCAGGTTTAGGAAATATGACAATAAATATCATAACGATTGTGATCTGATGTCTTTGTTGGAAACATCGGAGAGAATACATTCGATTAGATTGCTCAAGACTGTTCAAACAAATATGCTTGAAATTGTATGCACATCAAAATCCGTGAGGAAGAGTGTGTTTTAAGATACACAGGTTTTGAAGGTATAAAATTTAAAGTGTTACTAACCTACTTTATGTCATCGCTAGCATGCTAGTCAGCGTGTTCAGAGGGAATTCACATTGAGTTCAGTAATGCATATGGAGCAATGTTGATGGTGAATATATTCATAAAACTGCCACCGGATACTTCATTTTCATCAGAAGGGATGAAATGTGATTGTGGAAGTTACTGTGAAATGTCGAATAAGCAATGCATGTTAGTAATCCTGAATGAATGGCATAACGTCAGCCGAAATGCAGACCACGTATACATGGAAAAGACATTGCATTTTACGCAGTAAATTTTGAACCCATGAAAATTTCTAGGAATCATTGGCTTTAGCATGAGTTTCATTATCAGGCTTTTCCAGCATAAAGATAAGGTGAACTGAGGTGTGAACAAGAGATTGCATAGTGTGGCTTCGAATGACGGTAGTGCTTAAGACTATCTTTAGTGAGGCAGTATCCTTCCACGTATATTTCAAATTGTCATTGCAAACGATTTTCAGAGTTTAAACTACACGAAGTTGGGTGGATAAAAAATTCGACTGGATCCCAAATGATGGGGATTCACTTACCTAGTTCTTACCTTCCAGCGTTTTCCATTTTTTCATGCAGGCGTACAGAATTTCGGATGATAATATCGCCGAAGATTTATGTTGATGTCTTGTCGCACAAACTCGAAGATCTACAGGCAAAAAACAACAAGCTGACAGAAGAGTCAGAGAAGGAAGACGGAACTTCCTTCAGCTGAACGAAGAGAGGCACAGATGATGAAGATACACAACCATCACCATCACCACCAACACCACCACCAACAACAACAACAACAAGCGACAATCACCATCAACGGCAGAAATCGAAAGGAAGTTGTCTCTTCATCTACCATACTAGGCAACATCGTTTCAAATACAGGCGACATAAGCATAGATGAGAAGGTGAAAGTGAGGATCGGAAAGACAAGATAGGCATTCTGCATCAATCTGAAATAATAATCAATGTGGAGATCTACTATACTCCACCTGTTTGATCAGTGAGCAGGTATGCAAAGCATATAGCTCTGCACCAGTTTCTTCATGCAGGCTCATCCTTCGTTAGCTATACTAGGGTTTTCCTGTAGACAGGTAATCAAACACCTGATGATAATTAGGAGCGAGGTAGAACTCGAACACATGAAAATAGTGTTTTTTAAGGCAGCGGAAGTATTTGCTTAATTTGTTTCATCCTTACATTGATTCGTCACTAAGTGCTGAGTGAATTCTACCGATGCTTTTACAAAGTAGTCATCTAATTTAACTATCACAGTGCTCTTCCATTCATATAAGCACACTGGAGATTGATGAAAAGAAACCATGCTTGATCTGTATAGATTTTGGACTTTTTGATATTGGTAATCAAGACTTATTTACAACATTCAACAAAGTGATGTTATCTGAGAAATTCGAACCGAAGATATTCAGTGTTTATATGAAGGATATTTCTACTGAGCAATTCATTCAAGAATTGATCTTCTGCCTGCAACTTCTAACTATTGAATTTAAGGAATCATCGGAGGTAAAACTGAGATTTTTCGGAAAGGCACTTTATGCCTAAATTACCACCTGGATAGGTGAAAATAGACATTGAAAATTGAGAAAATACTGGACAGCAACATCGAAAGCTTTCTGCATCAGTGACTTTCGTCAGATCTGTAGAACCATGCAATACAAATTGCTCATTAAACCTGATAAATCCAACGCAAGATGTTGACATGCGACTGTTGCACAGTGAAAGAATTCAGGCAAATCGTGGGCATCAGACACTATCAGATAATGACTTCTGATTCAAAGGTGGCTAAAGTGTCATATACCTTCATATTCATGTTGAGCAAGATAAAGTTAGGATTTTGATGTTTGTAAACTCTGATCAATATGTTGCAAGTTATAGAGTAAATTTCAGATGTGCGTATGATTATGAAAGAATATGACTTGGACGACATAGATGTAATAAATCCCATTTGTGTATTCGTTCGTATATTCGCTACTTTGGATTATAGTTGATATAATTTTATTCTTCTGAAGCGTAAATAGTTAATGCTGTTTGTTGGATGAAGTGCACAAAGATTTATTGAAAAGTAGGAAGTGACAAACATCCATTTATGAACAGTTCTGATGACAACTGTCACTTTTGTATCACATAAAGATGCAATGAATGGCTTCTGTAGATTTTCTTTGTGATCAGAGGCATTCGGCAGTCCTTCTGCATTACCAAGTAGTGTTTGTTACAAGATAAGATTTCACCAGACGATATTTATGTATTGCAGCTCAGAAGGTAACCATAATTCTATGCAAAATAATAAAATCTTTCTGTGAATGGAAAGTATTTCTGGTTGGGTGGGATTTATTGTATTGTATTTTAGAACTGTGTTTGTAATGTATTATTCAATGAAGTATATTCTATGATGAGTTGATGGAATCAAGGTGATTTGCACCATGATTGCTACTGTGTATTGAATGAAAATGATGAATGCGTTCGAAGATCTGACAGTTTGTTTAAAGCAAGTTATTGTGGTGAGTGCAACGACTTACGGTGAATTGACCAGTTCATATTACCGCATTTCTGCATTTCATTTCACTACGAATGCTAATTCCATGCCTTGATCTCCATTCTGGTAAGTGATCTTGGTATAAGAAGAATAATTATTTAGTACTTTTGTAGTTGTCATGGAAGGGTCGTTCTTCATACAACACAATAAATAGACCTATATACCTTAAAATAAAATGCAATTTGATGAGTTGGAAAAAGTTGAAGGATAGGAGTTCGATGTTGAAAATATTAAAAAATTATAAAGAACAAGACGAAATTTATTGCTATCCACTTTGTTGATGACTCCTTCATCGTCACATGATCAGCAATGAGTTCAAAAACAGTCACTACAATAAAATCACTACACTGAAACACTGAAAGATCCTGTTGAATTCAGTGGATTATCATTCATTAAGCCAGTCTCAATTCATAAGGAATTTTATTAAGAATAACGGCACATATATGGTGCACTGTTTCGTTCTCCAGAACTTTAAAAATCTGAATCAATCAAGGTTTCAGATACGCCTTGCTGACAAGTGCCAAAAACCGCGATAATTAAATCCACCGCTTTTCACAGGCCTCATTCATTCAACTAACATCTGCCTCATAATCTCATATTCATTTACATCTCTGTAGAATATATTTTGAACAATTCAACAACTGGTATACAAATAAAAAAGAGATGAAGTTTTCTGTTCTCCTTATTCTTTCACATATATTTGTTCATTAATATTTTTCAGTCTGAGCTCGTTTTTTCATCTCAATAATATGTATATAGTCGACAACTAGAACATGTAAACAATCGTGAATCGAATAAATGATGCCAATCACTAGAAGAAGAAAAAAATGTAACAATTCGGAATTTAATATCATTCATTCAATAGTTAATTTATCCAACTGTGTAAATATATATTTCATTGAATTACTAAGCGTAAAATTATCTAACACCTACTTTATTGCCTACGTAAATTTTTCAACTTCCAGGCATTTTGATATAGGTACAACATTGATTAAATATGAACTGGTCATATGATATATCGAATGCATGATTGTATATAAGAATGACAGAATTGCAAAAAACCACAACACTTTAATACATAATCGTCAAACAATGCGATTTCAGCTTAATATGTTCCTTCTACTAACTGCTTTGATAACTATGTTCAACTTTGTTGAATCGGCAGTCTGTGAGTTTCATTTAATCATTTTCTATTCCTTCAGTATATGATTGTGATGAACAGTTGACTCTAAATCTTAGGTTTTGAATGTTATAGAGCAGTTAAACTAATGATCATCATGGGGTTATTAATAGCAAGTGATACTATTTAAAGAAAGTCTGCTGTCAGTTACAATTTAGTAGGATTTTCTTTCCTACCAGTAGTTGTATTTTAGAAGTATTTGAAGTAAAATCTTTTCTGTATCATCTCTTCATTCTTGTGGTGAAGATATATCATCCTTACATGTTGATTGGTTGAGATAAATGTTTAATAGTAAAGAGGTATGTGATGAAACTCAGTTGTAGTTTACACTTACTTTGTAACAATTTGTCAACTTTGCAATGACAAAAGAGATTCATGAGAATATAGAAAACGAAATGAGTAGTTATTTTTATTGAATATAGTTCCATTAAGCGGTAAAGAAATATTGCTTGGATCACCAGTCCACTATATATATTCGTGAAAACAGGCAAGATTGATATTGATGTCATTGATTTGAAATATTTCCAATAGCTGATGAAAGTCGTTGCTAGAAAAATGTTATCCAGTAACTTTTCACTTCATATACTTCTCAATAGGTCATCTTGTACATTGCTATCAAATGTAGCAGAAAACTGTTTTTTTTTTAATTTTTCTAACATTTCGTTGTAAAGTTAGTGAAATACACCATTTTTGTCTTGCATAACTAGCTCTAATTATGTATATATGTAACCATGGAATATTCAACGCTACAAGATTTTTAACTTAAAAAATTAGACACAGTTTCCATAATCTCTGTTCTCTTTTCAATTTATAATTTGTATACCACTTAAAAATTAACTAATGTCATAACTTGTTTTTATTTAGTGACAGGTATGAATTTCATATTGTGTAAACATGATTGCCATATTCGATGTTTGTATATTAAGAGATTTTCAAAATTTATTTATTTATGAAGCAAATCAGATGACGAATGGAAGGGATAACATGAACTTGTTTGAATAAGTCGACCAAAACAACTAGTATAGATGTTTCATCAAGCTGTCTTTGCAATCACTATATTATTATTATTATTATTAGTCCCTTGGGTTCCTAGTGGAACAAAGGGCTTCAGTAGCACGTCTCCATTCCACTCTGTTCTCTGAGATCTTTTCAACCTGGTTCCACGACAGCCCACACCCTCTCATTTCCTCCTCGCATGACCTCCTCCATGTCACCCTCACCACGGACGGCCAACTCGTCGCTTCCCATGGAGATTCCACTCGAGCAACTGGCCTGACGCGTGATGTCCCCGATCGGCCTTCTCAGTGCATGCCCAATCCATCTCCACTTCCTCCTGCATATTTGTTGCATGATAGGTTCTTGGTTGGTTCGTTGCCAGCCACAGTTCCTTGTTGCTTATTCTTATTATTCCGGCCATCTGATCTTCAGTAGCGAGCCATTGTAGGCAGTTGTTGATGAATGTCTGTAGTTTATTGGAAATGCCTTTCGTGACGCGCCAACTCTCTGAGCCATACAGAAGCACTGACTTGACTGATGCTGGTGTTGAAAATCCGGATCTTGTTCCACATGCTGAGTGGAGTGCAGAAGATCTCCACACTGGTTTCAGGCTAATCAACGCCTGTCTCGCTTTTCCGATTCTGACTTTGACATCCTCATCTGTCCCTGTGTCGCCTGTAGTTGAAACAGTGCTCCCTAGATAGGTGAAGGAGGTTACTTGCTTTAAGTTTCTCCCCTTGATGGTGATTGGAGTTTGTTGTTGTTGTTGGAGTTGTTGGTGGGGTATCTTCATCACTTCTGTCTTCTCTGTATTCACCTGAAGTCCCGTCTTCGCTGCCTCTTCTATCAACTTGTTAGTTTTCACCTGTATATATTCAAGTTTATGTGACATCAGGCACAAGTCATCGTTGGCGAAATCCAAGTCTTCCAGGTTCTTTTCCGCAGTCCAGTGTATCCCCCTCTTCTCGCTGCCCACTGTTTGCTGCATGATCCAGTCCAGTCGACCACAATCAGGAATATCATGGGGGATAGTAGGCAACCTTGTTTCACTCCTGCTCCTAACTTCACTTCAAAAGCATCACTGAGCTTCCCATTGTGAATGACTTGGCTGTTATGTGGCATCTTCATATAGTTGTTGAATGAGGCGGATAAAGGTTTGCGGTACTCCGTAGTAATGAAGCAGTTTCCAAATTACCTCTCGGTCGACGCTGTCAAAGGCCTTCTCAAAGTCGATGAAGTTGAGGTAGAGAGCTGATTGCCATTCTATACTCTGTTCTATGATGATGCGAAGCGTTGCAATTTGGTCTGCACATGATTTGTACTTCCTGAATCCTGCCTGTTCCGGTCGTAGCAATCACTATATATGCCAATATAATTTGAATAATGATTCACTTCCTGTATAATGTGTATTCCAATCACATGTGTAAGCCAATATGTGCTTATAATTTATCTACACGTAAATATTCAGTGATTTTCAAATGACATTTCGGATTTAGGTCATATATGGAAAAATTTCAGGATATTTTAAATAAAAAATTACAACATTTCACACTGAAATACTGTCGGAGATTCTTCAGAGATACAATCGAAGTCTACATTTCCAAAGTAATGTAGTTCATCTCATTGTCCAATCATGACTGGATTATGATTGTTTTTCATTTGGGTTATCAGCCACTGACACCGTGGTGCATAGGTTCATACGATACATGAACCTACTTCTGTGTGTATGCTTGTGTGTTGTATTTCAGAAGACGGTTATTACAAAATAATGGAAGGCATATGTGTCATAGTTGTCAATGCATGAAGAATATGTTCTTGTTGTATTGGGCATGAAATACATCACTTTTGTCTATGTTTAGAAATAGAACGAATTGATGTTGATAAGGATGGGATTTCTCTGTTTCCTATTTGTTACTACTACTACTATTAGTAATAGTAGTAGTAATAATAATAGTAATGAAAAATACAGACACAATTGATAACATATTGTCTATTGTAGATGATGACTTGGCGTAAATGAGTGTGAAATTGGACACACCTACTAATTTACATGAAATATGTTAGTGCTTGTTTAGCTTTTTTTTAAGTATATTTAATAATGATTATTTGACACATGCAGGCAGCTGCATTACGACTCATCGATTCAAGTTTTTATGATTATCCCATTTATGTAGGGCGTTAGCAGTCACTCTTTCCTCAAAAACCAATTTGTAGAACATTGGTTCCATCGAAAGCAAAACTGTGTCGTATCTCTATTGCGTGCTGTGCTATAACTCATCTATTTTTACACACCCTAAATGTTTGCTGTAGTCTATACAACCTTTGACCTGTTTTAATGTCGATAATATACACTTCGATTATTCACCTGAAGAAGCTGGAACCATGCTTCCGTGAGAAGCACAGCAATTACTTATTTTAGATTTACCCAGATATAACTGATATCTAATGTTAAATTTTCACTCAGTGTCCCAGAATTTTGAACTTGTGAAATCTTGACCAGGATTTATTATTACCCATTTTATTACATTTTACAGTCTCCATCTTGATTAAAGATATAAAATTTGCTGCTCACCATGTGATAATGCGTTATTAATTATTATTTATCCCTTGGGTTCCTAGTGGAATATACGGCTTCAGTAGCACGTCGCCATTTCACTCTCTTCTCCGCACTCACTTCAACCTGACTCCTCCATTTCACAAAAGCATTCATTTCTTCCTCACATCATCGCCTCTATGTCCCTCTCAACTCAGACACCCAACTCATCATCTCCCATTTGAATTTCACTCGACCAACTGGTCCCACCTGACGCGTGATATCCTAAAACCATCTTCTCATTGTATTTCAATCCAATCCATCTCCACAATCTTCTGCATACGTGTTGAGCGATAGCTTCTTGTTTCGTTGATTCGTTGCCAGCCAGCTAACCAGCCTACCAGCAAGTCAAAGTTCCTTGTTGCTTATTCTTATTATTCTATTCTGGCCAGTTGATCTGATCTCACCTGATCTGATCTGATGTGATCTGATCTTCAGTGTCAGTATGGAATAAGTGTGGGTGGCAGATGTTCATCACTTATGTCTGTGGTTTGTTGCAAGTGCTTTTCGTGACACGCCACCAAATCTCTCAACCATCAGATAGAAGCATTGAGTTACCTGACTGAATTAGTGTTGAAAATCGGTATGTTGTTCACGCTTTGTGCTGAGTGCAGTTCAGTGCAGTGCAGTGCAGTGCAGTGCAGTAGATCTCCACACTGATTATTATTTCAGATTGATGCAGGAATGCCTGTCTTCTTGTCTTCCCGATCCTCACTTTGACATTCTCATCTGTGCTTATGTCTCCTGTATTTGAAACGATGTTGTCTAGGGTGGTAGATGGAAGAGACAAGTTCCTTTCGATTTCTGCCATTGGTGGTGATTGTTGCTTCTTGTTGTTGTTGTTGGTGTTGGTGGTGTTTGGGTATCTTTATCACTTGTGTCTTCTCTTCGTTCACCTGAAAAGAAGTTCTCGTCTTTGATACCTAGCCTCTTCACTTCTGCCAACTTATTTTTTTCCTGTAGTTCTAGTTTGTTCAGCAAGATTGTAGACATAAATTATCGGCGGAATGCAAACCTTGTTCTGGTGTCTTTTCATCGGCCTAGCAGCGTATGCTCCTCTTCTCGCTCTTCACTGTTTGCTGCGTGATTCAGTCCTGTTCAGTCGATCATAATCAGGAAGATCATCGGCGATAGTAGACGGCAACTTTGGCCTACTCTTTTCTTACCTTCAAAAGCGTCGCTGAGCTTCACACTGTCAATAACTTGGCTTATGGGGTCGTCATATAGCTGTTGAATGAGATTGATAAGTTTTGTTGCACTAAAACCGTAGTGTTGAATCAGTTTACAAATTATTTCTAGTTGGACGCTTTCGAAGTCTTTTTCAAAATCGATAAAGTTGGGTTTGATTTAAGTTAACTGTCATTCTACGCTGTGTTCTACGATGATGCTTGGCGCTGCGATTTGATACTTTATTGATCAAAAATGTAGGTATATTTTCATGTCGGGTTCCCATTTACATATAACTAGACCATCTAACGAAGTATGAGATGGACCAAGATATTAATCGTTCATTTAGTGACATTTAATCAGCTCCCTACGAACCTCATTTCACACCGATTCTATTTGTAGTGTCCAAGTTAGGAAAAGGTAACTTTCATTATCCCATACATGCAATCGATTTTATGAATTTGTGACTGATTAGATATGGTGTCTGCCATGCGACTTATAAATTGTACAATAAAACATTCTTTTTATACATTTTACCATCAAACTTTTATCTGATGGATTGCTATTTATCTCTATCAATGAATGAAAACCAGGTTTTTTTCACTCACTGAACAATGCGAATAACAAACTGATGATAACCTCTTAATTCCCGGACCAATATAGAATGTCATATTTTGTGTGGAGACGTCTATGATGCTTTCACAAAATTCTTATTATGTACTAAACAATGGTTTCATCCAATTCATCTTTACTTCTAATTAGCAGGAAGTAATACATCACAGTCTCCAGGGTAAGCTCATTCATACATGTGTTAACAAACGAACCACTTGACGATGACATCACATTTAACCAAGTCCTGGAAAAGATGAAAATATATGAAGATTTGACCGAATGGTATCCCAAACACTGTGCGCTGAGTAAAAAGTTGACATGAGATGCAGTTTATATTTGTATATGTCATCGATTGTTTGAAATCAAAGAATTCCAACTTTATGCAAGGAAATCTGGTCTAGACGTATTCCGGTCAAATAGTTCAGAGCAAACTTCCGTGAGAAATGTTGTAATTGTATATTTCTGCTTACACTGTGATTTAAAAATCATGTGTTCAATCAAACTTTACACCACATTGCGTGGATGTAAGTACTTCTTGTTCTTCATGGAGATGATCGATGAACTCTCACCGCAACTTGCTCCCATAATCAAATTTACATACAACCACTGCACTTCAGTTGAAAACTTCTGTACAGATTATTCAGCATTTCATGAGTTGCTGAGTTAAGTATATGCTGAGAACTTGAATAATGCAACTGAGATAACAAACATCTATAACTTAAAAGATTGGAGGCTTAAAGACATCCATCCTGTCAGCAATCGAAGAAACTGGTATCATTCATCAGGGCAAAAGTAAAGTGAAATTAGGGTAACAGAATTGACGGCCATGAATGACATCCACAGGAAATAAAAAAGAGAAACAAATGGAAAAAGAAAGAAACACAAGAAATTAATGAAAAGGCGGATAGGTAGATAGATGAATTATGATCCCGATATAGCTGTTTGTGGATTCAACAGGTAAAGCCTACGGGGGGAATGACTGAACGCTTATTCCAGATATACGGAAATTTATGTTATCCTTGTAATCAGAGAATAAAATGTATTAGCGTTATATCCATCCAAGAACAACTTAGTTCGTTCTCACTCTTATGACTGCATACAATGAATTGTACCTCATCGTTCTTTGTTAAGAAATGTTAGCTTGTATCTGTTTCCCATAGGCTGTTCACAATTTATTTTACTTCAGTGTATTGTATATTTGATGGGAAAAATGACTACTTAATAGTTTGAGGAAAGGTCACCATAGGGGACGTCCGATTATTCATATCACAATCACGTGAAAGTAATACTCAGAACAGTTAAGATGTCGTCTTTGCATCGTCTTACACATGGCTTTGTCAGTGGAACAGCTCGGGATTTCCTTAACTATTCATGTAACTCAACTTTGTAGGGAGAACTCAAGGTGGGGACGTCCGATGCTTGGTGAGGCACACTGTCAGTTACTTTGCCTGATATCTGTGATAAAAACGTTTGTTTCGATTACGATGTATATATGGGAGAAGACTGAGCATGTGTGTACAGTACCAATTTTACTTGTTCCACGTCATGGTAAATACATTGAATGGAACCCAAAAAGGAAGCGACGAGTTGGGCCTCTGAGGGTGACATGGAGTAGATGGTGTGCGGAAGAAATGAAAGCTTTTGGGAAGTCGTGGAGCCAGATTAAGAAGACTGTAGAGAAGAGAGTGAAATGGTGACGTGCTACTAAAGCTGTATGTTCCGCTAGGAACCCAAGAGACAAATGATAATAATACCGTTACGTTAATTCTAACTGCTGATAAATAAACTGAGTGTATTAATCGTGAATAAAAATACAAACAACCAGCTGTGTTCAAAAACGTTTCAGTAAACTTGCGGATATATTGATAGCTGTATGTGGTTGAGAGTTTGCAGCAGCATCCCTATTCATGTCAGCGATGATATTTATCGAGATTACAATTGGAAAAGTAATGCAAGGATTACTACTGGTTGCACACTGCGTGTAAACATTCGAATTATTCATCTCAGCTTACTGTAGCTTTGATCTTCACAAAGGCATGCTTATTCAGCTTGCTTACATTATGACTACGGTTAACCACTCGTATGGAATACATGGAAAAAGCGGTGTGTACGTCTACCAGTTGAGTGAGTGCATTTTATTCGTGAAGAGTGAAACGCTTTTGAGTTCATCGCAACCACTCAGCTGAATGACATGGTCGTATGCATATGACATTTTAAAACTATTATGGTGAGAAACGTTTCTTTTCATATTACTACTCCTAAAAGGTAGTGTATCGTAGAGGCAGAAGTGTGAATATCTCACAGACGAGCTAAGCAACCGTACTTTTGGAGTAGCTTAGATTTTCTGCTGTTATGAAGGATAATTTCTTGTCAAAAACGGAGAAATCTCATGATAACCACCACATTTACACACGCAAGAATTTAGGATGATATTTACTAACTTAAAGGTGCATAGTGACTTTCAGATTGTGATACTTGCTATTCAGTACTGAAACACTACTTCACTTAGACAACAAATAAATGAATATCCCTTCGGCAATATATTTATGTTTACTGTAAAATAATTTTTCATCAGCTAACATTCATTTCTATGCCAGCGTACAGACTTAAAGGTGAAAAGGAAAGTGCATTTGACACTACCTATAATCACTTAGAGTAACGGTGGGATTCAAATGCATGTCATCACACCACTGTTATCTGTACATCTTAGTACTATGTGAAATCATCGAATTGTTCACTAAAGCTAATTTCAGTAACACATCTAAAATTACACTCTTTTTTGAGCAAAGATCATTATGGGATTGGGTAAAGTAAGTCCAACAGTTTAGTTAAACTCGATACATCCGACATTCATGTCTTGATTTCTCATTCATTGTTAACATCTGCATATTCTCTTATTAATTTGCAATCTGTAATAACCTCTTGACTGACTGTTAACTAAGTTTGATTTATCTTGTCTATTAGACGAACATATTGGGTATAAAAGATGAAGTAGGTAGTTCAGCATCCGAAACTCCACGCAGCCTTGAATTCTTTAGATGAAGGTAGACCGATGGAAGGAAGCGAAGGCTTTCAGCTGCAATGTTTCAGATTGAAACGACGTATAAAGTGTTTAATTCCATCCTCTACATCCGAATGAGTCTTCAAAGACTTTTCATACAGTCACCATATCTCACTCTTTGATATTTGAGGGAGTTGAATACAGAATCATAGTTCACCTTTGAAAGGATATGTTTAAGCCGTTTAAAGGCAGAAAGTAGGAATCCAGTGAAATGATGACTCATGAAGTCAGAGTCAATGAAAATGTAATTACATTTATGGCTTCCTTGAATTATTTTATGAAGCAAGCCATACGTTTTTGGCCATCAGTACCTCTATTATACAATTCTTCAACAGAGTTCATTGTAAGTACTTTGAGGATGTTGAGGAAATCTGTGATGTAACCGATTCCAACTCTCATGACCATTTTATCTTGATATTTATACTACACCTGATTATAATACCATGTTCTGACAATTTTCGATTATTTTCTGTTCTGTTTGAAGGTGGCTGTTAACCATTTTATGGTAAGTAATCATATTCCCTTCGATTTTCAGGACTTGAGTCATTTTCATGTTCATCATATTCTCAGAAAGTCAGTCGTAGAATAAAAAAATCATGTTAAAAACAAAATTGTTTCCATGTTTTTGTGACAGTAGTGATCTGCTGAATTTTACTGCTTGAATTCAGGTACACAGGCTAATACCTACAGATCATTAATTGGGTATAAATGAAGAAGAAGAAGAAACCATCGTTGTGTGACTTTATAATCATCTTTACAAGACTAAGTCTGAAATAGTGGAAAATATTTGTAGCTTAGGTGGATGGTCTTGGTTGTATTGTGTTCTCTGAGCTGAGTTGTTTAATCGTGAAGCTTTCATCGTAGCGTTTGGGCCAGTAATGACGAGCAGACGATGCTTTGTCATTACTGTCAGTGATTTCCTTGTTGACAGAGTAACTATCTTTTTAAACCAAAGAGTCTGCCTTAATTTCCGGTGGTAATGATTGTGCTGATGATGCCGGTGCACAGAGGGTTGGATTGTCATCAATATAAGCTGCCTTTAAGGTAATTAACGCTACATATTCATCCCTGACACATCATAAATGAAAATTATCTCAGATAAATACCTGCTTGATGTAGTATACAATATGAGAATATCGTTTTACATGCAGTTATTCTGATCCAGAATATTCAGATCAGATAATACGCTGTTCATATCCAGCTTAAAACATATACTGTGAATCAGAAATCATCATGTCGGTAAACTTGTCTATACAGAGCATATATTTTATTTTATTACGCATATAGTTACAAAATGTCACTCAAAATTTAATCTTAGAATTACTCATATAATGACCAACATATCTGTGAATTGGAAACCCAAACAAACAAGCGATTCCCAGGAAATAAACCAATCTGCCAAATCACGTGTAATATAAAAAGCACAAAATTGCTCTGAAGTATAGTACTTAATATATTAATAAGTAGAAATAACCAATAAATTACAGAGAATTCCTGGAAGCCCAGCATTCAGGTCAGTCAGTCAGCAATCAACAGATGTATAGACATAGACCCAATCTATCACCTAATGAGAAAAACGATAAACGACAGAAAAACTCAGAGGTCAAGCAGAGGGATAAGCAACAGGAAAATGTATACAGTCAATGACACAACAATCAATTATAGACCACTTCATCAAGGCAAGCTACTAAATCATTCACAAAGAGATATTGACAGCTCCCTTCATACTGAAGTTACTGATGATGATGTCGTCTAGAAGGACGATGAAGGCTTCATGGTTAAACAGCCCAGCTCAGAGAACACAATATAACCAAGACTAAGTTTGTATGCCTCTGTTCATTGTTTTTCATAACCGAATAGTCATTTTAAAAACACTTAAGTAGAACAGAAGAGTCCATAGAATGAGAAATTGAAACTGTGGATGATGGATTTCAGTGTTTTGTGTTAGTAGTCGAAAAGTGAGCGATTCTGAATGTGAATTGTTTACTGGTGAAGTGGTGAAATGGCATTGAGTGTTGGATGTTTAACAGCCAGTTCTAATATATTCAGATACATACATCTACATGATGGATGACAACAATCACAAAAGCCAAGAAATACAGGGCATCTCACCTCTTGACTGCTTGCTTAAGGTATCAAAATACAGCTCATCATAGTGTCGTATAACCACAACTTACTCCCTTAATCACAAAGTTTACCAAAGAACTTCGTTTTTCATTGAGTACTGTTGGTCGTGTTCTTATATTAGTTACATGCTAGTGAATGACTCAGGAATTTGAGTTATTAGCATATAGAGTAGTTCCATGTAGACCATTAAGTGTGAGTTTAGTATTCAGAAGTTGAAACTACTTTTAACAACACAGAATTTGAATACTGAGAATGAAGTGTAAACTATTTGAGCAGGTGAGAATAGAAAACACGAAGGGGTACCGGTGAATTAAAACAAAGAATTTCTAAAATTCATGATAAAAACATTTTTCAACTGAAGACGAAGCAATTTCATTTACGAAAAACATAGTTTGATAAATCATGGTCTACATATTTTACAATTTGAACTTTCAGCACGATTACTAACATCGTGTAAGTGATTCAAATATTTCAAACTTGTTTGAGGAGTTTCGTTGCATATTTTGTGTAGTGAAATCAATGCTGTCACATTTGCATTGAGAAAAGATAGGTAGTGATTATGATGTCTCCAATCGGCCTTCTCACTCTATACCCAATCCATCCCCACTCCCTTCCACTGCATATTTGTTCAGCGATAGCTTCATACTTCGTTGGTTCGTTGCCAGCCATCCAGGGTTCCTTGTTGCTTATTCTCATTATTCTGGCTATCTGATCTTCAGTAATGAGTCAGCGTAGTCAGTTGTTGATGAATGTCTGTAGTTTGTTGGAAATCCCTTTCGTATCGTACCAAGTCTCTGAACCATGCAGAAGCACTGACTTGACGTTGGTGTTGAAAATCCGGATCTTGTTCCACATGCTGAGTGGAGTGCAGAAGATCTCCACACTGGTTTTAGGTTAATCAACGCCTGTCTTGCCTTTCCGATCCTGACTTTGACAGACTCGTCTGTAGTTGAGACAGTGCTGCCTAGATAGATAGATAAGTAGTGAAATTCATGATAAATTTCTCCTGTTCTATGCACAAGAAAATAGCCAATTCTTCTCCAGTACCTACTTTTAATCTATTTGTACTAATTGAGCACAAATCTGTGTACCTTTAGCAAGCTCTATACGCCTGTTGAATTCAAGATGCTGCTTCTGGACTGGTGTCTGGCAACTATAAGCTTTTGTATAGGAAATGAGATGGTAAAAGTTGTTGACCACTTTACTTACTTGAGGAGTTCTGTCATCCTGAGAGGGCTGGTTATTGCAGAAATCTCACCTTAAATGCTTAACACTCAACTAAACCTTTCTATCATACTGATGTCTGATGCCTCTGATGTCTCCGATGACCTATTAAACGATGAATACACTAGACAACATTTCGCTGTGCTCTAATATACAGTTTTGTGACGTGGCTGCATGAAGTAGACGTTTTGAAGAGATTTCACATCTGCGATGACAGATATCGGCGTGGCATTTGTTGCAAGTGTTAGGATCACCGTCAGATCGACTTCAAAGCTAATGAAGAGGCACTAGAAGACGAACGCATGTGAGATGAAGAAGTTCCCGATCTCGACTTGGTGAGATGTCTTGGATGCGTACTGCATGTGTTATTACACCATGTACCTCTAGGCAAATTGTGATGAGGTTCACAGTGACCATGACTAGAAGTGTCATCTTACAGTGACGTTTTCAAGTTGGATAGTGTATGGGGTGTGCAAACACCCACCATTATCGTGTAGAGAAGAGAAATGAGTTGTTGAAGACTCTGTGGGATGATGCTGAAGATTGCTTCAATGACCGACATGTTAACTTTATCTTGGATGTTGTGAATACCTCAAGTAAACTTCATCTTTCTAATCTTTCACTCTTCCACGCGGATTTTTTTATGTCTATATTCCTTTGTTTACCAATGTCTTCTTTAAATAATGTGAAGCGTGGCATTTCAGACAGTTGCTCTTCGTGCCACTCACAACATCGATTTGTTTGTCAGTTGTACACTATTGGGATATATGTGTACTACCAACTACATGCAGTAGTTATTTTACTTTGATTACTGAAACGAATATTTTGAGAAACTCCAATTATTGAGGTGCACTTCATCATTCTGATAAACAGAATTTGTCTCTGGACAAAAAGACAAAACCTTGGATTAATTTTTTAATTACGGCATACTGAGCATTTACCCCTTTGAATCTTCTTCAATTGATTGTTGTGTAATAACTGTTTCCCTAGTCACAATGAATACGACTTGAATGATGTTTTAGAGTTTGTCGCCTGAAATGTAACAATTACCCTGTAATTGGGTACGGTTTTCGTTGAATTCCTACCATAACTTCTAGGTGCTCGTGAGTTATATCACTCAAGATATGAGAACTGTATTTCAAGTACACTAAGAGTCGAAAAGGAATCGATTTAGATTTCAAATTGTCGTCCGTTAATACCATACGAGATAGCGTACTTCCTATTATCTGAAATCTAGACATGATTGCTGTGTAAATTCTCTACCTCTGTCCATAATCCTGTAACTAGCTTAGCCTTACTCCTGTTCCCTTCACTTTCCTACTCTGTTGCATGGTTGGTAGATATTTTGAATAGATTCCATCGAAACAACTAAAATCACCCTCACGATTGTCAGGTTTTGTCAGCGACAACAAACTGGTGTGAAGAGAATCTACACAGTTTTAACCTTCATTTTGTCATCTAAAGAGTTTGCTGTTCGTCATCGACTGATTTGCTGCTGCCTCCATTATCAACTACAAGTGGAATATATGAACTAATAGCAATCACATGTTACCTCTGACCTGCAGCTAGTAAAAACAGCTGATAATGTGAAACATTACAAGGTTTCGAAATAACCGTTCAGTCAGTAAGTGGCAAAATGCTTCTTGCCATGTACGACATAAAAAAATGCACACTGTTTGGCATCTTTACCTCACTTGTATATTGGAATAATGAAGAGCAGCACTCAACAACAGAATGAAAATTGTCAAGTTTATTTCAAAAAAAAACTAAATTACGATAACTTGCATACACTCACCAGTCATTATAATGTTAGAGTTAAACACAGTTTTTATTTTCTCCTTTCATTTGATATTTTACTCATATAGGACCACTTACTTCGGATAGTAATGATCAACAATTCCAAAGTTGTTGGTGATGATCTGATCAATCTGTTTTTCGATGAATATGTACTAACTATAGACTGTTGTCGATATCTCCGATTCTCCATAGTATTCTGTTATTCTATTCACAAGTCATAAATCATTTCATACTTCATTTGTGTATCTATCCTTAAACAGAATGTAATGACATGTATGCTGTTTGAAAATGAAGTTGTTTACATTTCAGTCTAATCATCATATGAAGTGGGTTTATCTTGCTAAATGAATAATTTCTAGATTACCACTAGAAAGTAGGTAGGATGTAATTTAGTAGGATTGCATAAACGCTGAAGCAGCTTATATAACGTTGAAGTGTTAAGATTAATTTGATGAAGTGGCTCCTGCACATGAAATGAGATATAATTCATATTTCCTTGTGGTATACCAAACATAATATCAATAACAAAACATGTAATAAATCATAACATGAAAGATGAAAGGAGATGTTAATGTTATTATATCCATAGGTAGCTTACAAAGTGTGAGATATTTCAAAGAAATACTCATGAACTAAGTTGCAATTATTCATCTCTATGTGACAAGATGTCTCATTAGGCATTTAGTATGAACTTGTGGAATTGTCCTTATTTTCTTCAGATTAGCTTATCACCTAATCCATTGAGATACTAAACAAGAATATAAACTGAGAGCTTGAGATAAGAATATCACTTGCAACAGCCTACAAACAAAAATATGCATAAATCTAGTGGAATTGATCTCAATTACACTTCTGTTGTACTTTACAAATGGATGTGCAATATCATTGTGAAAATGAATCATTTCTGAATGCTTTTACTCTAGCACAGACAAATATCACGTCCTTATTAAGCTGGTTGAAAATTTGGAAGCATGATTTTTACTTGATGGAAGCTGTTTATATGCAGTACTGTGTTGAGTCCTAGTCTGAGTTTCACTTGATGATTTTTTACTCAGTAAATTCAAATTACTGCAGCAATATCACATGTTTTGTACTTGTTGGGACCTATAAGATAGGCGTATCTACAACCTATAGAGAACTGACATTCCTTCAAAGACTCTAGGTTACCTCACCCGGACACTCATTCCTTTATCATTAGGTAGTTGTACTATCACGTAGAAGTGAAGTTCGTTGGTTGAAATGGCTTTGAAATTACCTGCAAACTATTATATTCCAGTTTGCATTGTCCTCTCACTGAGATGAGAAATACTACACAATAGCATATCATTAAACCTTTGTCACATTCTATATAATTATGTACGACAAGGGAGTGTATGATCAGATTGCACTAATACATTACACCTTACAAACAAACCACGTTTTCTTATTGTTTTTTAGAAATTCTTATTCGTTGATATTATAACATGCGAAGCAGCTCACTTGTGAAAGGACCATCAAACATATCTTTTTGAATGTTAAGATACAGCCAATAAACATTTACTAAGAAAGGTAACAATTACACTTGAACATAGCTGGTACATTGAACTGTTCACAAAATGGACGTTATTCAACAGGTGAAGTGCTTAAGACATTCGTTTAATTAGGCGATATACATCACATTTTAAAGTTTATTTTATCACGAAGTATATCATCGTTCTAGTCAGGATCATCAAGAAGATACAAATTACTTAGCATAATATCTGCATAATTGGAAATACTTTCGAGAGGCTAGCACAGAAATATTAAAGAAGTTGGTCGAAATGGTTTGGAGGTGAGATGTGTCATTCATTCATTCATTCGTCAGATAGAAAAATCCAAATGGAGAATATTAATAGCATAATGAATGAAAACGTATCTTACTTTACAGATGCATCCTGGAATACTTGCGCATGAATACTTTCAATGAGATTTAATCTGTAACCCTCAGATTTGAGTTGAAAACACAACATTTGAAAATGTCATCAACATTTCTGGTGAAAAGTAACGAAATGGCTTCAGCATACTGCTAACCAAAAGTTCAGTGAAACGCTGGTTTTTCAGTTGGCTATGACAATTTGTACACTTTCAGTTGTCTGTTGGGGACCACTTGTCATACAGTGAATAAAATCGTATTTACGTGCGATTATCGTTCAGTGTCAGAGGTGTCAAATTATCTATAGAAATTGATCCAGTGAAGGTCATAATCAACGCTCACCTGAGAAAACTGCTGCTCTATGTTACTCATTAAGTTTAGTATAGGGTACAGTGTAAGAAAAGTCGACTATATCTTGCTAAAGAAAGAAATTATGTGGGTTGTGCTAGGTATTTTGTGTCAAGGCATGACTTGCTCACTAAGTGAACTCATTTATGCCTTCAGCTTGGGATAACGTTCGTCCGTTTATTTTTTGCTAAATCAAGTGGGAATATTACATTTTCTATGCTGCCTGCTGACGCATAATCTTCCAGATTGTGGTCCACTGGACTGGATCATGTAAGAAACTGTGAGGAGCGAGAAGAAAAGCATAGGCTGACTGGACCGATGAAAAGACTGCAGAAGAACATTTGGATTTCTCAGATGATTTATGTCTAATGTCTTGTGGCATAAACTAGAAGACCTACAAGCAAAAACTAACAAGTTGACAGAAGAGGCAGCAAAAACGGGACTTCAGGTGAATGTAGAGAAGAAGAAGGTGATGAAGATACCCAACCAACACCACCACCAACAACAAACACCAATCACCATCGACCGGAGAAATCTGAAAGAAGTAGTATCTTTTTACCTACCTAGGCAGGCAGCATCGTTTCAACTACAGGCGGTGATGGTGGCACTGACGAGGATGTCAAAACGAGGATCGAAAAGACAGCAAGACAGGCCTTCTTGCATCAATCTGAAATAATCAGTGTGGAAATTTACTGCACTCAGTACAAAAAACGAGATCCAGATTTTCAACATGAATATCAAGTCAATGCTTCTATGTCATGTTTGAGAGACTTGGTGGATTACGAAAAGCATTTCCAACAAACTACAGATATTCATCAACAACTGACTATGCTGGCTCATTACTGAGGATCAGATGGCCAGAATAATGAGATAAGCAACAAGGAACTCTGGATGGCTGGCAACGAAACAACAAAGTATGGAGCTATTGCCCAACAAATATGCAATGGAAGGGAGTGGGGATGAATTGGGCATAGAGTGAGAAGGGCGATCGGAGACATCATGAGCCAGGCCAGTCCGTTGAGTGGAACCCCGATGGGGAACGACGAGTTGGGCGTCTGAGGCGAGGCTGACATGCAGGAGATGGTGTCAGGAGAGGGCTTGTGGGCTGTCGTTGAGCCAGACTGGAAAGATTGCAGAGAAGAGGGTGCAATGGAGGCGTGCTACAGAATCCCTATGTTCCATTAGGAACTTAAGGGACAAATAATAATAACAATACTACTCACTGATATGCTTGTAGTTTACCGTTGTTCCACTGGATCGATTTGGCTATTCAAATGACACCTTGGCGTTTGAAACGCTGGGTACGAGTTTTGAGTCTCAATGGGAACAACATTCACTTGGATGCAGTTACATACCATCCGGCTGATGTGTCTCAACTAGGATGAAACACGCATCCTAAATTCCTCTGCTAGCTACAAGCAAGCAAACTGCATACTGAACATTCAGGCAATATCGAGGCATCCGTAAAGGAGCCCATACTCTAACGCAGGTCGAAAAATTCGTTCCAGTAAAATAACGGTGAACTACATGCATTTTAACGAATAGTAATTAACTGAGGTGCTTTGTACAAATCAAGCTTGTCATGCGTGTGTAACGGTGTTACAACTCTGACTATATGAACTGGTGTGTCTCCAGTTAACGCTAGTGCCCTTTGATGCTCCACAATTTTAGAAAGAGACCATATTATTACATATAGATTGTGAATTTTCTAAACAATGAAGAATTCCCAGTTGATTTTTCATCGTAATAAACAGTAAACATCATATAGATTGAATTGTGAAACTTGCAGGTTATTCAGGAGGCGATATCATCGAACTGATTTCCGTGAATTATTCTGGCGCACGTGAACACCACCTTCTCAGAATATTGTTGTTTTTCTTTCAACCTGAATTGGGAAAACAAATTGAAAACTGAAAAATTAGCATGAACAATTATAATGCCGAATCGTGTTCTAACATGCTTTGTCGTATTTCAGTTGATTGATTATGTGTTATTCCAGACTTTTCTCTGTTTCCAACGTCACTAATCGTAAGAACGGCCTCTCATAAGGCGCAAATGCATGAAAAATTGTTTAGTTAATGCCCCTTAGCGTATTCTAGACAAAATGTTTCTTTCAGGCTTCTTCCTTGTTCACATCGGTGAACTGGATCAAAGCTCGTTGTCAGCGACATGACATCCGCATACACTAATCAATCATTTACAACAAAATTATTTACACACTGAAACAAAAATCTTATGCGTCGTGGTTTTGCATGAATGTGATTAATAAACATGTTGTCTACTCAATGAGTTGATAAGAACTTACGTCATGATGAATGTATTCTTTTCTGGCTTTACCTACATGACGAAAATAAACTCACACGTTTTATATGGCGAGGAGTAGATGTAAAATACCTATTTGATTTCTTGTGTCAGCAAATATAAAATCAGCGTAGAAAGATAATTTATCATTGAGTATCAACTCTCAACAGGATGAGGAAAGAGTATACTATCATTTTATCCCTAGTTTTGTTGTTTGCCGTGTTCAATGTTGTTGGACAAGGTATGAGTGAGTTTCACTATCTTTTATATAAATTCATGTTATGGATGACTGTTTGTCAGACACTGTTTTCTCAGCATCTTCAACTGACTTATTCCGACTGACAGTATAATATTTTCCGAGCTTCCCAATTATATCCTATGAAATTTCGATCACAGTCTTCAAATTATTAAACTAATGTCCCTCAATCACCAGGTTTTTTGATGTGAAATTAGTCAAGTCATCGTACAAGAATGCTATTGCTCAGCCTTCCATCTCAAAGCATGTTGATGAACAAAGAAATATGCTAAAAAAGCTTGAATAATGAATCACATTTTCTGGTGATATGGAGTTTGTATGACTCCTAAGTATATAGAGCGTTTAAATGAATGAACTTCTTATCATTATTGGACGTATGTGCTAAGGTTGTGTAATTGTATATTGATGTTGGTCAACTGTTTTGCAATTACTTTTATGATCACTGGGTGAAGTCAGTAGCAACTGATTAATTCTACTCTGTAACATCAAACTTCAAGTCACTGCTGTCACGTCAATATTTCTATAGTTTTTTTTTCACCGACATCATTAACATCAGCAATTTTGATTACATATCTGTTGAAGCAGTTGAAAGTAAGTTGTATAAAATTTCATTCATTTTGTCGAAAAAATATTGTGAATAAATGTTATGGTGAGGTAACAGAAATTGGAAATATAGACCATCGCATTCTGACCCAGTGGCTCAATAGTAACTTGCTGGCCATGGAACCTGAAGGTCGCGGGTTCAAGCACTGGAACGCGAGTTGCGAGTGCGCACTGCTGAGGAGTCTCATACTAATATGAAAAAGCTGTCCAGTGCTCCCAGGTTTCCTTTGTTCCCCTAACTGATGTCAGTCTACGATGAATAACAACTTGAAATATTTCCAAATCTCCACAACTCCCTTAAAAATTCAATAAATGTTAAGCTTCGTGTACTTAATTGACAAATTAAGAGACTCCTATTGGTTGTGTGATCACTAGGTGAAGTCAGTAGCAACTGATTAATGCAGTACGTGATATACCGGATATGTCGAAGCTTAACACTGCATCAGTAGTGATGATGTAAAGTCATATCAAACTGCATATGTAGTAGCATTTTGGCCCATGTATTCAGTTACTATACAATAACCATCAGTTTAGATTGCTTTCCATGCTTCGTCAAAGTCGAATCATTTGGTAGGATCATTTTCGTGTATAATTAGTTTGCACATAGTATTGGTTCGATAAAGCATACAAGTTTGTATGAAATTTCTTCACTGAAGCTCTACTCTGTAACATCAAACTTCAAGTCACTGCTGTCACGTCAATATTTCTATAGTTTTTCCATCGACATCATCAATTTTGATTGCATATGTGTTGAAGCAGCTGAAAGTAAGTTATGCAAACTTCATTCATTTTGTCAAAAACATATTGTGTATAAATGTTAAGCTTCGTGTACTTAACTGGCAAATTAAGAGACCCCTATTGAAATAATAAGGCACTCACTTATATGAGTATTCCGTAATTCCATGTACCTGTAAACAGATAAATGCTAAAATTAGATCTCTGGATTGCATAACAGAATATCGTACGATTCAGCTCTTTGTTTCTATAGTTTAATAATGCCCTAATGTTTATGAATGCATAAGGTGAATTAGAGATAACTTTTCGAGAATTATTTCACAACGTTTTGAGACTTCTTTGATATAGGTAAACAGAAAGATTTAATGAATACAATTTCTTCTTTCATATAAATGAAACTTCATAGATGGTGAGTGTGAACTCATTCACGATAAGCAATAGATGATTAACACTGGATTGTGCTAATAAACCATCACTCACCATCACCATTATTATGTAGATTGATTTCTCCTATATGTACACCAGGATTTCATCTCGCTTTCTATCGCCAGTTAGTAAAAGAGAGGGATATAACGTATCATATCACCTTCATTCATAGAGTTGAAAAACAAACGTTTGTTCAGTCAATAGATAACACAAGTTAGGCTAGTGAATATCATATCAAAATAATAAATGTGATTTGGCGGAAATCCAAAATGTATATGCTCGTATCTAAAAGTTATTCAGAATATAATATTTCACTCTTGTGTGAAACCTACTCGTTTTCTGATTTAATTTACAAATTGAAACTGAGCGGAATGATTGTCTTTTGTCATTCATGATATAAAAGCTAGTTATTATGTAGATATGAAATCCTTTCTACTCTCTTTAATCAAGATACATCAACAGCAAATGGACTGAGTAAGTCAATACGGTATATGTTTTGAGCCAGAATATTTCATAATGATGTCAATTATTATCTAAATATAGGAGAATAAGTGAATACAGTTTTCAATTTAATGACTCCTAACAAGCTTTTATCTACACCATTAGCTATGCTGAATTAGGTGTTCCTGTGTAGCAAAAATTAATGTGTACTTCCTTTATATGAAATGAGCGACAGCCAGAACTATATCTACATAAGAAAACATGAATGTCTTAAATTGACTGCTTCATTGTATTTAGTAGATTTTGAAAAGCAAAATGCTCACTTATTAGGATTATTAAAACACTATGTTCTTGTCGGTGATAGGCATTTCAAGGGGTTCGAATTCACAGTTCATGAGGAGTCCGGGAAATTAAAATGGTTAAAACTGTTTTCTTGCGAAACAGTGTTCCAGTCTTAATCATGATTAGAACAGACTGATAATACAGTCAACACAAGTAAACGTGAAGATGGTTTGTTTGTCATCTTATTCATTGAATTTTGGTTAATATACCAATTAATTTTGTTTTTGAAGAGCGAAATCAGTATGGAAGTAAGAATTTGTTCGTGTGGTTAATAAAAAGTTGATTTAACTTCATTTTTCTCTTTGCAAATAGATGGAACTGAGTTTTCATGTAGAGAAATGATACTTTATAGGTCGAATACATGTAGATGCTTATCCTGACCTACAAATAATGCACAGTGAATGTCTACAGAAACAGATTTCATGAGTGAAGTATCTCGATATTTCACATGAAACTAAGGAGTGAGAACGTTGACAACGCAACTAAAATACTCTTATCATCTCACGCTTGGTACTCAGTTGACTTATAAATACACGTTACCTGAAATAATTTCCTTTCGAAGTATTGTAATCAATACATGCATTTGAAGCTATAGATTTATCATTATTAATTTTTTCGTCTTGGTTCCTAGTGGAACATGCGACTTCAGTAGCACGTCACCACTACAATCTTTTCTCTGCAGTCTTTTCGACCTCCCTCCACGACTGCTCACAAGCTCTCATTTCTTCCTCACATGATCTCCCCCATGTCACCCTCGCCTTCGACACCAAACTCATCGTTTCCCCTTCGGATTCCACTCGATGGACTGACCTGACGCTTGATGTCTCCAATCGGCCTTCTCTGTGTATACCCAGTCCAATCCATCTCCACTTCCTTCCAACGTATATTTGTCAGATGATATCTAGTTACTTCATTGGTTCATTCTCAGAGTTGCTTGTTGCTGATTCCGATTATTCTGGCCATCTGATCTGATCTTCAGTATCGAGTGAACATAGGTGGCAGATGTTGATGAATATCTGTAGTTTGTTGGAAATGCTTTTCGTGACACGCCACGTCTGTGAACCATTTAGCAGCACTGACTTGACACTGGTGTTGAACTGTCTTAAAGCAGTATAACACAATTACAGTGATAATTATTCGGTTCCATTACCCAGTGTACTTGTTCATGTGCCCGATAATTTCGAAATATGGAATCAGAAATTTGACAATTATTAAAATACATTAGTATAATAGGAAGATATCCATTTATTACTTGTTAGTGATGGTATGGTTTGAATTTATTTCAGTGACCATTCTGTGAGCAAATTTATTTAAACTATTGTCACAATAAGTAAGACATCTGATGACATTTCCATTACTCTGATAAAGATCGATCTGGGATTGGACAAAGTAAGTACTTCAAATAGATTTTGCAGTGCATAGTTACAAAGTATCTTACCATAGTCTAACCTTCTTGTTTCACTCAAAGGTTAAATTACTTGGTGAACTCAGTCAATACAATATTTGAGAATGCTAAAATTGCAAGCCTGAGTATCATTTAAGGCGATGAAATTAGCAAGAAAACACCTCTGAACAATCTACACTCATGACAAACTGCATGTAAATTGCTTAGTTCTCTGTATGTTTACGACCAATCAAGACTGACTTCCACGCTTTAGAAGACTAACCATCTGATTGTCAGACGTCAGTATTTGTTCATATTTCCTATTATTTAGTTGATTAATGAGTATTATAACTTACACTCTGTCTGAGGGTTAATATTTTCCACATTGGAAGCATATCACTTGAGTTTAAGTGGTGAGATATGCACGTAATGAGAACATTAGAGGGAATATTATTTCAAATGTCTCATGTGATCAAAATTATTTCTAGTCATTGTTTTGCTTCTACAACCTTTCTGCTCATTCTGTGTTCACATCTTTACGCAGAGGATTAATCACCGTGATATGGTAAGTCACAAATTTTTTTCAAGCCGCTAAAATTGAGTCACGTTTGATTTGTTAGACAATTTCTGACTGTGATAGTCATTGACAGAACACACTGCAGAGACAGAGTGGTATAACATATGAGTTTATTTGAAGCAGAAATGCAAGTCTTACGGGGTAGTCATGAATTGTTTTCCCGTTGAACAATTTTCTGCTACTGACACTGCTGCCCCTCTTTTTAGAGGGACCTGTAAAAAAGCAGAATGAAGACAAGAGTCATAAGCAACCAATCAAGTCACCGTGATTTGTGATTTGATCTTGGCCTCAGACATATCAGTTAGATCCTTATCTAAACAGAAATTAGTTAAACAGAAACTTTTGAAAACCAATGTCTATCAAGAAATCAGAACATACTGTGAAAATAGTGAATCGTGTGGATTTTTGATCAGTGATCAAGATTGATTGTGCAAGAAGGTTTTAAATTTTTCGAAATCCATCCTTCGAAATTGTTTAAATAAATTACTGTATTTCTGTAAATTAATAACAATTTGCATCAATCTTTTATCAATTCAAATTCTAGCACCTTGAATACCTTTCTGTAAGTAATCTCATTAATCAAAATTGCGCCATCATTGAACTTTTGTTGCATTGGAATGAAAATTGAATGTTGATTTTTGGCAAACACAGAAATTACAGGCGTCATTGAACGATTCAGCAACTTTAAGGAGCAGTTTTGTTATTTTGTAATTTGCCTTCTGAGATCATCATTGCATCCAGCTCTTGCTTAAATTTAACCAGGTGTTGTTTTAGTATTGAATTGATTGCAGGTTTGTTATTTGGATGTTAAGGTAAAATGGGAATTTGAGAAACCACAATATTCAATACTAGCTAATGATTACCTTCTAAGATCACCGAATCTTCACAACAAACATGCTGACACACTATATGAGATGCTATGTCATTAACCAATATCGGGCTATTACATGAATATTATTGTTTCTAGTATTAGGGAATGAAGTATGACAGGAATTATCCACCTCCTGAACGTGTTTTCTGAATAGACCACAATGTTTTTTCATCGATTGTGATAGGCACTTATATCAAGTTGCAGTGGGAAGATCACAGTTTCACCAGCATGTTATCGTCAGTAATTACACTGATTATCACTGAAAGTTTTTGTTTGAGCGAAGAAATATTTAACGATGCATTGAGAAGACTAGAAGGCTGAATTCTAAACGTGTTGTGTCTGAATATACTAAATATGTTTTCTGATTGTGGTTTAATTTTGGTTTCGACAATATTCTTTCTAATTTATATGATGCACATGTGATTTGGTTATGCTTAATCTGTGACTTTCTCTTACAACAGGGGTTATTATTTAAAGCAATACTAACAAAGTAAAATAACGTGGAATGTGTATCACAGCAGTCAAACAAGATATGAAAAATGAACACAGTGTGATCCCACTTGGATTTGATACATTTTTCTATTAATTACCTTGTTTTCGGTACTACATTGTATGACAATAATCTGTAATTCTCGACAAGATTTGTGATGAAATAAATTAAACTCTTGTTTTGTAGCTTGTTTTGAATACGCTGTGTTAAGCATACTTGTTAAAATAATGATGGGTAGTAGCTGGCAGTGGAATCCAGGATGATCATTTCGTACTATTTGCTACTCGTCAGCTGGACGTACCTGTCCCCTACTGGGTGATGGAGTTACCACCGGGGTTTGGACTGGGAACCGATCGCTTCAGACGCCAGAGCGTTATCCACTATACCACCAAGCCGAGATAGCTATTTGTTGTACGACGGGCATAGTTATAGCAGGATTGCTTGTGTTATACCGTCATTGCTTGAACCGAATCGATCTCTCTCTATTGAAATATGCATTCCTGTGCAATAAAACTATGTTCAATACAGGTTGAAATAGTGATAAATGGATGTGAAACTGTTTCAACGTGCTTGAAAAATAAATGGAACTATGCACACCATACATGTAATGATATGATAATTACAAGGCCCAGTGAATTACATGAAACATCATGTTTTCAACGAAAATACATTTCGAAAGCTATAAACTCAGTTACTTTGTGGAATAGGTTCTCTGCGGAGTCTTGAAGTGAAGTTCACACATTGTTTGATGGTTTGAAAAGTTATAGGATTATTATATGCGTTGAAGCAGTCTATTAGTTTCCTAGATGTTTACCAGGTTAGCAATATGGTGAAGGGCGAAGAAAACCTAATGTGAAGTCAATCTTAACCTTTGCCGCAAGCATTGGTAACCAGCTTTTTCACGTCTTACAGATACAGTTTGCTGAGACAGATTTCTCAACTTTCAGTGTTTACTGATATGTATGTTTCCAGAAGTCGCTATATGCCCAGCTCACAAACAACCACAGGGTGTCAACCAGCTGACAATTGTTTACCATCAGTCATATATTACATCGAATAGTTGTTTGTCTTGGTTGAGACTCATCTTGGCAAGAACTTATATGCTTGAGTTTGAAGAGTTCTGATTTTTATCCTACTAAAATTAGCTAGTAATCAACCATGATCAATGAAGATCCAGCGTTGTGAGGCAAGTGCATGAATTCATTGGAATTATGACGCCACACTTCGTCATGAATTTTGTGATTATTCATAAGTTATGGTCATTGTAGATAAGATTGTTGGAATCGAAGTCAAAAGTAATCGTATGACAAAGTGACATAGAAACGCAGTTCGCCTTGGAAGATGCATGATGACGGCTATCAACATCCATGCCAAATTTCGTTAGCTTAATATAAGACAGATAAGTGATAGTAATCCATGTAAACTTAGGTCAACTGAAGGTGACCGACTAGGAGCCACATCTATAGTGCAAAGACCACTGAAATCACTTGATGAAAAGTAGATTCAGTACATAATAAGAAAGATATCAGAAATTTGATAGGAGCATAAGGAAAATGGAGGATCAGAACCTTATACATTTCACTATTTCAATGGTATTTCTTACTTTGGATCTCAAAATTCAACAGTTAGGCTTTCAGTATTTTTTATTGAAATCATGGTCTGAACTAACTTCTGTGTAAATTTTTCCCAATGTGACTACTAGTTGGATTACATGATAACCATTTGTGTGAGCTGTCTCATCCTACATCGTCTCTTTATTGTTTGCATACGTATTTCGCTTGTCTGTCCTGCTAACAAGAACTCCCACCTTTTTAATATTTCTCATGTTCGTGATTGATATGTGGTTTCGGCCACTGCCAGTATGCTTATTGGAGGCTGAGTAGATCAGGTAAGAACGAAAGCATCAGAAATGAGGCCATCAAGATGAGAAACATATGCGTAACGAGTTAGCTAGCAATCTAAACATACAAAACGATAGATTCATACATATTTCCATTTATCACTTAAAAAAGAGGCAGTAAAAATCGGAGATTATTGTTTATTTTTTTTGCATACAAAATAGAAAAGTTTCGAAAACATCTTCACTTACTTCAGTTCACTTAGACTAGGACAGTGACACAGGAAGTAAGGAAATGGTCTGCATGGAAACAAAGTCATAATGTCATGTCATGATGTCATAATCGCATTTCTTACCGGAATGGAAATTATCTCAGGCAGAAGAAGGGATAATGTAGAATTTTGTAGAAGAAACGACGCTAGTCAATAACCAGAAAACAAATTCTTATGCAGCATAATAAATTGAACTCAGTAGATTGAAGATGGATTTTAAGTAGAATGATAATGGAAGGACAGAATGATGATGTAATTAAATAAGTGGAAAGTTAAGAAGTTAGGTTGGTAGCGTATTTGAAGACAGATTGCAGTTCCATTTTGAATAAACAAATCTGGGTTCAGGTGATTGATTACAGTGGCTTCGGACAAGCGAAGAAGTTTTAAATAATTCCGTTGGTTCATTAATTTGAACGATTCTTTGCCTCTCGCTTGCTGTCCTGTGTCCACTGATCCTCTAGAGAGAAAGAAATACTTCCTCCTCTTAGTCGTAGGCTCTTCTGGACGTACTGAAGATATTGGAGGTGAGTCCCTATTTTTCTTCTTCAAATGTAACTGTTCTGGCAGTTACACATGAATTGGTACACACAATTTGAGGCAACATGTGAGGTGTACTTGTGGACTTTTGCTTGCACCAGCAGTTAACACTAAATCAGAGATCTAATCCACTGATTTCCACTTATTATGTTGAATTACATGCTGTCATCTGATTATGAATAACTTATCTACTTATCAATTTACATCAATTCTTGTTGTATATTCCACGTTATTCCTCCTTCTGATCTCATGTGATTTTGACACAAATGAACGCTCTAATGACATATGTAATTATGAAACGATGGCTTTCCATTTTGACAAAAATTTACATATTAGTTCGGTGACTTTTCCAACTGGAAATTTTATACAATCAATGACACAACAATCAAAAGAAACAACCAATCACAGACCACATCGTCAGAGCAAGCCACTAAATCACTCACAGAGAGATATTGAGAGCTCACTTCATAATGAAGTTATTGATGATGATATCGTCCAGAAGGACGATGAAAGCTTCACGATTCGGATCTTGTTCCTTGTAAGGAGTGTAGTAAATCTCCACACTGGTTTCAGTTCAATGAAAGCCTGTCTTGCTTTTTCCGATCTTGGCTTTGACTTCTCCGTCTGTGCCACCTGTTGTTGAAAAGATGCTGCCTAGAAAGATGAAAGAGGCTACTTCCCTTAAGTTTCTCCCGTTGATGGTGATTGGTGCTTGTTGGTGGTGGTAGTGTTGGTTGCGTAGCTTCATCACCTGGGTCTTTTCTACGTTCACTTGAAGTCCCGTCTTCGCTGCCCTGACTCTTCTGTCAACTTGCTGGTTTTCGCCTGTAGATCTCCAAGTTTGTGTGACATCGGACACAAGTCATCAGCGAAATCCAAATCTTCTGGGATCTTTTCAGCGGTCAAACAGCGTATCTCCCTCTTCTCGCTCCTCGCTGTTTGCAACATGATCCAGTCCGCCTCAATCAGGAAGATCATCAATTACGATATTAGACAACCTTGTCTTACCCCTGTCTTCACTTCAAAGGCTCCACTGAGCTTCCCATTGTGGATCACTTGGCATATGGTCTTTTTATATAGCTGTTGAATGAGGTTGATAAAGATTTGTGGCAGTCCGTAGTGTTGAAGCAGCCACCTGCCAGATTACTTCTCCGTAAACTCTCCCGAGGACCTTCTCAAAGTCGATGAAGTTGAGGCTGATTTGAATTAACTGCTATTCTATGCTCTGTTCTATGGTGATGCGAAACGTTGCAATTCGGTCCGCACATGATTTGTACTTCCTGAATCCAGCCAGCCTGTTCCGGTTGTAGTTTTGAATCCAGTGCATCCTTTAGTCTCTCCAGGATGATGCGGCCTAATGTTTTGCATAGGGTGAACAGGAGCCTGATTCCGCGCCAGTTCTTGCAAATACTTAGGTCACCCTTCTTCTGCAGTTCGACAAGGTAGCCCTTCATCCAATCAATAGGCAGGTACCTTCCCTTCCTCTCTTACAAGCCTTCTGCAATAGTGGAGTGAGCATGTCTGTTGATGTCTCTGCGTCTGTTCTCATTGCTTCTGGCGGGATTTCATCTGGTCCTGCTGCTTTCCCACATTTCAGTAGCCTTATGGCGTTCAAGACTTCGACTTTCGTCAGGGGGCTTGTGTTCAATGGTGATTCTGTGGCTGAGCTGCAGATGGTATTTCTGGATGAAGTGCAGATAGTGTTTGATTCAAGAGCCTTTTGAAGTGGTCAGACCATCATTTCCTTTGTTTCTCTTCTTTGATGATCAGATTTACTTCATCATCTCTTATTGATTTCATCTGTTTTTGTCCAGTATTTTATATATTGTTCTCAGTTCCTCTTCTCGTCATTCATCCTTGCGCTGGTTCATCTTCTGCTTCATAATCCTCCTCTCCTCTATCAGCTTCTATGTGTCCGTCGAGATCCATTCCTTGTCTTGTTTCTTCTTCCTTCCTCCCTTCCTAACACGGTTATTCAGGTTTCTTCCTACATCTCTTTTAATAACTTCCAGTGTTTTTCCACACTGGTTTCTTCAGCGATGTTCCTCGATATCTCCCATTTCGTCTTGATGGCTGCCGTGAAGATTTCCTTTGTAGTTTTGTCGTTCAGTTTCTGTTCCGAGTGATGAACTTGAACTGTGGTCTATCACCAACTTCCTTGAGGTATTTCAACTTGATTTGGAGGGTTCCTTGCACTAGATAGTGAGTGATCTGAACCCACATCTGCTCCTCTTCTTGATCTTGTGTGTAGTAGTTTGCATCTCCAATTTCTTCACATTGAGATGAAGTCGATTTGATTTTTAGTGTGTCCTGGTGTCTGGTGAAATCCATGTCTCTTTGTGGATATCCTTGTACTTGAGCAGAGTACCTCCAATCACCAAATCGTTGAATGCACAGAATTCTGCAAACGATTCTCCATTCTCGTTCATTTCACCGAGTTCTTCTCGACCCATGATTAGTTCTCTTCTTGTGTTGTCTGTTCCCAGTTTGGCATTCATGTCGCCTATTAGAATTTTAATGTCGCCAACTGGGGTGAGGTCTTGTTCAGCGCTGATTGCAGTTGTCTATAGAATTCCTTCTTCTCTTGCTCTGCATTATTTGTAGGCGCTTAGCATTGAATGATTGTGACCTTTATTCCTTTTCAGTTGGACCTTGTTGTTATGATCCTGGAGGAGATTAGTTCTCATTGTGTGAGAGCTTTCGATGCTTTTGGGGAAATCTTGATGGCTACTATTTCGTGCTTGTAGTTATCGTCTGGGTGACCGGAGTAGATCATTGCCTCTTGAGTTGAGAGTCTGGAGAGTCCATTTTCATTCCATCTGCTTTCGTAGATTTCTAGCACTTGAATGCTATATCTTCTGATCTCCTTTCAACCTGCGCAGCCTTCCTAGGTTCAAACATGGTGCAGACATTCCATGTCCTTACGTTTACTTTCGCTTTCATCGAGAGAAGATTAGACACATCGGCTGATTGGCTTCCCGAAGGCTTTCACCAACCAGCGTCATTTCGTCTCTCCGATCCGATTCAAGCAAGGAATACGTTTGTTTTTATTTTTTATATTTTGTCTGTGCTTTGAAGTTTCCGGGGTGGGGTTGCTTGCCTTATGCCCAACCTTCCATCTTTACCCGGGCTTAGGACCGGCTAGTAACTAGTGAACTAGTTAACCAGGCAAGGCTTCACTGAACTGTATTGGGTAAATATTCTATTGAAATGTTATACTGATAGTATTCTCGGTTGTAAGCAGCTGACGCAACCAGGAAAATAATAAAATGGACCCATATTTTTGTAATAAAAGCATTTCCTTTTTTGCTAACCACTATAAATATACCGTGATGGTTATTCCAAATCATTGCACTGCTACTCCTATGCACTAGCGAACTATTCGGCAGCAAAATATCTCACATTGTAGATCGTCTTGATTGCATAAACATCTTCTCGGTAACAGAATCACAGTGACATTCATATAATTCAGTCGGAAACAAACCTTGCATCGACTAAATGAAGGTCAAAGAAATATCCAACAGTGTAATATCTGCATAACTGTAGGAGCCTAGACAACTCCAATGATTTTGAATAAATTGCTGGTAAAATTTCAGGATTGCAAATTAGTTGTTCTCCAAGATGAAGTTTTACAGTATGAAGTGCATGATGACATTCTACCACAATTGATTCGATCATATTAGTGTTGTCAGGATTTGTTCGATCAATATCCTCTCATTGTCTCTGATGTTGACATCCCTGATAACAGGTTATGCTTGCTCAACAGTACTCCTGGTCTTCTATCATAGCTATTTAGACCTAACATCAGAGCTTTCAATATCTGAACTCTCTGTCATATCAACAACAATCTTTGTAAGCTGAACTGCTGATACCTCATGTCATGGACGCGTGATGTGTTCCAGAAACACTAGTTCATATCCAGCTGTGTTTACTCACCTAACTTCATCTGGTCAATTCTTTTAATCTACAGAAATCACCCATCGAATTTCAAAAGATTCCATGACTACTTTTCATGGACATAATACCTGGATAGCTTCAGGATTTAGTCTTTAGTTAGAAACTGTTCTTGTCGACTGGGTGTCAGCTGTCAGTCACCTGTTAGCTGATTTGCTGAATCGTGCAGTTCGAACCAAGAAAAGCGTTGAGAATCCTCGTTATCTTCTGGTCATCTCTGATCTCCAAATAATCGACTAGACTTAAGATGAAAGGGAAATGAATTCTATCGAGAACTGTCTAGCTTTCTACTAACGAGCAAATGTTCAGATCTGGTTATCACAATGGGTGATTACGGTAAATAAGTGAGTAAGCTATGACACAGAAAGGAATACAGATAGCACCTTCAGAATTCTGGTTGAATGTACACATGAATGTGAGCACCATATACAACTTTGCTCAAATAACCGTTTAATTCTAGCTGGTCAGAATAATAGATGTAAGGAGAGTCATTGTCTGGTGTGAGGTCTACCAACCGAAACTCAATGGTGGAAACAGATAATCTAGATTGTCATCAGTAACAGGTGAGGATGGTCAGTGGTAGATTGTTGCTTTAGCTAAAATAGTTGTTGAGATAGTAACCACACGATGCCCGAGTACTCATGAGCCTATATCCATATGGATGCAAAAAATCGATAGGCTCATTACCGGTTTGTGCCGACATCGGTGAAGAGAATACATAGGTCGATTCTGGCAGATGAAGTGGTTATGATGACAATACAGCATCACTCCTCATGAAAACATTCGGGTCTATTATCGGCTTCCTGGGAAAACAGCATATGGACTTTAACTCACTTTTCGCTTGTGATAACAAAAATTTGTAACAAGAAACTGGAGGTGATATAGTTCAGAATCAATCTCATTAGTGCAGGTTCCGCATAAAGGTCATATCCAGTTTGGTGATTATTCTCCTTTCCTTCCCCATATTCTTTGATTTACTACTAATTTAACTAAAATTCTCAAGTAAACGTTGATTATATTTTTCAAATGAGATGATGAATTTCTAATTACAGGCTTCCTTTCGACTTTTACTCAGATCACGTTTACAAACTGACTCGAAACTGCATCTCACTAATATGACATCCATATACACAAACCAGTCATTCACAGCAAAATTGTTTACATACGGGAATCAGACATCTTCAACTTCATGTCTACGCTTTGATGTGACAAGTAAACATATTGCCTGTTCAATAAGGTTATTTGAATCCACTTTCTGATGTATGCATTGTTTTCTTAATTTATATATATGTCAGAAGGAGACGTATAAATGTTAGTCGGCAACAAATAGATCTGACAGACTCATGTGATTTATCGTGTCAACAAATATAAAACCAACGTTGGAAGATGTAGTATCATTTCATTATTGTCTCACCACAGGATGAGAAAGGAGTTCACTTTCATTTTATCACTGATTTTGTTGTTTGGCGTTTTCAATGTTATTGGAGGAGGTAGTGGTAAGTTTCATTAGCTTATGTATCTTCAGTGCAAATTCATCTCATGAATGACCAGTTGTCAGATATTGCTTCTTAGGCGTCTTCAGTTGACGTATCCTGATAAACAGTATAGTGTTGTTCGTGACTTTCAAATATATCCCATGAAATTTCGATCAGAAATTTGAAATTTTTAAACTTGTATAGATTACTTACAAGATTTGTTGGTATGAAATTGGTCAAGTTGTCTGCCAACGCTGCTGTTGCTTAGTACCGTTCTCAAAAAACACTGATGTATAAGGAATTAAACTGAAATCTGATTATCTGAGATAATGAATCACATATTCTGTAAAAATTCTCACTTGGATATTTAATAAAACAAACAATGTGAGCAACAAATAGTTGTTTTCAATTAGTACCTTAACAACAGTTATAAACTTATATACAGCGTTTTCAAAACCTAAAAATTCATACCAATCTAGTGTTGAGAGTTGTTAGCTGAAAGATTATCCATCTCAGAGTATGAATAAGGTGATAATTGATCAGGTAATTGAGACAATTAACTAAAGCTTAGATTAACTATGGTAGAAAGATTTTGTCAAATTACCTGATCAATTATCACCTTATTCATACTCTGAGATGGATAACCTTTCATTAAACAACTCTCAGCACTAGATTGGTATGAAATTTTACGTGTTGAAAATGCTATATATCAGTGTAGACAGGAGAAAACTAACAAGTTGAAGGAAGAGGCAAGGCAGTGAAGACAGAACTTCAAGTGAATGTAGAGAAGATGGAGGTGATGCAGCTACGCAACCAACACCATCATCACCAACAACAAGCACCAATCACCAATCACCATCAACGGGAGAAACCTAAAGAAAGTAGCCTCTTTCACCTACCTCCCTAGACAGCATCGTTTCAACAACAGGTGGCACAGACGGGGATGTCAAAGCGAAGATCAGGAAAGCAAGACAGGCTTTCGTTGAACTGAAACCAGTGTGGAGATTTACTACACTCCTTACAAAGAACAAGATCCGGATTTTCAACACCGACGTCTGTCAAGTCAGTGCTGCTAAATGGTTCACAAACGGCTTGTCACGAAAAGCATTTCCAACAAACTACAGACATTCATCAACATCTGCCGCCTATGCTCATTCGATACTGAAGATCAGATCAGATGGCCAGAATAATCGGAATCAGCAACAAGCAACTCTGAGAATGAACCAATGAAGTAACTAGATATCACCTAACAAATATGCGGTGGAAGAAACCCATATGGGAAACGACGAGTTGGTCATGTGTGGCGAGGGTGACGTGGAGGAGATCATGTGAGGAAGAAATGAGAGCTTGTGAGCAGTCGTGGAGGGAGGTTGAAAAGACCGCAGGGAAGCGAGTGAAATGACAATGTGCTGCTGAAGTCGTATGTTCCACCAGGAACCCAAGGGACAAATAGTAATAATTTACTAGTGTAGAACTATAGATAAGGAACAAATTGAAATGAAATATTTCTTCGCTCATATTGTTTGCTCTTCAATTTGTATGACTCCAAATAATGTGGATTGCGTCATTTTAAGATGAATGAATTAATTTTGTTGAATTGTATGTTGATTTCATATAACTTGTTGACTGTGTGAAAATAGTAGCTACTCGTTTACGTCTCAAAATGCGTAGCAGGTTAACAGTATCCTTATACTGCATCAGTAGGCACTATCTGGAGTCATTTCAAGCATGTTATTGAGTAGCATTTTCATTTATGTTTCCGACGCTATGAAATCATTGTCTTAGTGAAGTGCATTCCATGTTCTTTTAAACTCGACTGATTGGATAAGTTCACTGACATCTTTCATGAGTTTAACCATTCTATTACTTTGAAAAGTACACACATTTGTGGAAGATATCTACTGTTCATGTCTATTCTAAAAAAAATTGAGCTTCAAATCATGAATATCACTTATGGACGTCATCTGTGCTGTGTACATCATAATTATCATCAGAAATTTCGATTCCGTCCTACTTTAAGCAGCTGAAGGTACATTATGCAAATTTTTATTCATTTTGTCAAAGAAATCCCTTGAATGAATTCAGGGCTTTCAATACTTTGATTCCCAACTTATATAATTGCTGCTGAAATGTTAAACCGCTCACTTATGTAGGTATTTCGTCATCACGTAACTTGAATATTCTGTGAAAAAAGACAGAATGTCACATGATTCAACCCCTTATTTCCCTAATCTAATAAAGCGCTAATGTTCACTGCTGTATATGGTGTATTAGAAATAGCATTTCAATAATTTGTCAGCAGCTGCTTGCCATTTATTTGGCGTTGCCAACAATAAAGGTGAATAAAAACATGCGTGATAGCTTCAATTTATGAGGATAATGGATATGATTTCTTTCAGTGCATGAATGAAATTTAATAGGTGGTGAGTGAAATGTCATAACTTTGAGTCATGTGCAAGTATTCACCAGGGGTAGTGCACAAGCTACACTTGATCGCCCTATTAGTCTGTCACACCGTCACATTTCTCAATGAACACCATAATTTCATCCTACTTTTATCAACAGTTAGAGAGATATAAACGATCATATCATCTTTATTCATGGAGAGAACAAAAAAATGTCCATTGTATCAAAAGACAGTAAAAGACATTTAATACATATCCTAACGAAATAACAAATGCCATTTCGTGACTGTCTATGATCTGATTTAAAAGTTATTTCGAATTTTATGTTTCACTCTTGCGTAAAACTTAATGATCATTTTGAGATAGTTCGTGAAGCGATTTCCTTTCGCCAACCAGAAAATACAAATGTGGTATTATTTAAGTGCCAATTCTGTTCTGTTTCTGTCCTTTCATCAAACATTTTAAGCAGGAGAAAATAACAGTTCCACTGGGTAAGTCAGTGTGTATCCATATGTATCCATATGAAATAAATGATCTCCAGTGATGAAAATTTTATCCAAAATATAGAAAAAAGGAAAATACAGTTTTTAACTGATTCACTGTGAAGAAACCATTATCTACACCGTTAGTTTGTCTTACTTATGCTGTATTTTGTTTCTGTTTGAAATGAACTGACTGGTCGAAGTTCGATTTAGATGAGAACACGTGGAGTGTTTCCAGTGACTACTTCACTCCAAGGATTATTAGAAAGTTGTGTTCTGTTGTCACTAAAGTACATTTCAACAGATGTGTATTCCCAATTCACGAGGACTCTCTAAATTTGAAATGATTCCAGTCATATTCCAGCGAAAGTATTCTAATCAAATTATGGTTGTAACAGGCTGATTATTGAGTGGGTAGAACTGAACATCAAAACTGTTTCTTTATCATTATAATGATTGGATATTATTTTTCATTCACTTCATTTGGTTTTTGAAGATCAAGCTCAACCTCGAAGTAAGAATCCGTCTGCGTGAAAACATTTATCTGACTATTTTTCTGTTAGTAAATGGAAACAACTGAATTTCAATATACTTAAATAAGATTTTGACAACCCTGTATGTTTAGTATTTAGGTGGCAATGTTTATGGGTCTTTATAACCAACTGATGTACTTTTGTTAGCCTGATATATTTCTGAAAGCTCACCTTGAATTTTATGAAAACGATACAGTCAATGAAAAGCTTTCCATGTATCACTTGAAAACACATTGATAAACAGATAAAAGCAATTGAATAAACTTCCCACTTACTAGTTCCACTCAAGTCTTGTTTTCACATATCTGAGTGATTCATATCCACAAGTCTGATCGCCGGACATTCATAATTATTCCAGGTCAATCAGGATTACTTTCATCAGATATGAAGTTTGAATTGAAGACAATCATAACAGAACAAGTGTAGTGTCATCTACTGACTTGCAAGAAGCGATCAGCAAATGCCCACTAAGGCAGATTTTGTAAATGAACTAATTGGATATGTGTAGCATGACACTCAGGATTGAGAAAGTAAGCAACACGACTGATATCCTCTCATTTTACACTTGGATCTGGGTAAATTTGTGGACGCGGATTACCTCAAAGCTTTCATTTTCGAAATACTGTAAATTAAGCAACGCATGCATAATCGAATTCGGTGGTTAATCCTCCATATCTTACTACTGCCTAGACCGTCCAGAAACGCTTCTGCTATGGACACATAATTCTGAATAACAAACAGTCTTTCCTTAGACAATAATATCACTTTCTCTGATATGGATTCACTCCTATTACTGAAAATACCTATTTACAAGCCTAGTAGTTTTCGACCTTTCACGGCGGTGATTGACAATCGTATAAATATATTAGAGTCACAGGTACATGCTTTATAGTGAAGTATCATCATTCGTATGGTTTTAATTCGTGTTATACAAATTTCTACTTGAATAATTATTCAAACTTATAGCCATAAATCATAGATCTGATGACATTTTTATTACTCCGAAAAAGCTCGGCCTGGACATGGACGAAGTAAGTATTCGCATAGTTTGTGAAGTGCATAATTTCAAATTATCTTTATATTGTGTGGTCTTCTTACTTGACTTGAAGGTTGAATTGTTCAATGAACTTTAGGATACCTATTGGTTGCAAGTGCGAATGTCACAATCTTGAGTACCATTCGAGTTGACAATATTTTCTCAAGGCGGGACCTCCAAACAGACCACATTCTCAACAGACTTCACATATATTGATAAATTCATTTTGGGTTTTGGATCAATCCAGAGTTGCTTTCGTGCTTGACTGGCTTATGAGATTATCCAGGTAAATATCAGACTACATCATCCGTTCACATTTATCACTACACAGGTGATCAACTAATGTGAGGACCTATATTCTGTCTGGGGGTGAATATACCCCATTTTGGATATATGTGAATGAAACTGGTGTCACAAAGTGTGTGCCTACAGCGAACACTTGTTCAAATAACATTTCTTTGGGTTCATATGTTCACAAGCACGTCCAACCTTGGTTGTGCTTCTAACATCGTCAATCTCATTTTGTTTTGACGTTTTTACACAGAATAATACTCACCGCGATATGGCAAGTCGTAAATATTTTTGATAAGTATTAAACTTCACTTGATTTTGTTGTCCGTTTGACATTCGTCAAGTTGCATGTTCGGAGACAGGACATATAGCAGAGAGGTTGACTCATTATTGTTGTATGTGTGAGACAGAAGTAACAGCACCTCTGGTTGTAGTGTAATCTAAGTGTAAAACATCGCTAGTTAGTTTTGTCGTGTTTAACATTTTTCCACTACCATGATCGGAGTGATAACATATTGCAGAGAGGCCAATGCAAATTGGATTTATATTTGAAGAAGAAGTGACGGCAACCTAGGTTATAGCGTAATCTAAACGAAATACGCCGCCATTCAATCCTTAGCTGAACTGAAGTCAGTCAAATAACTATTACCGTTTCTTTTATGAGGTCACTTAGAATAGCGGAACATAGAAATTCAGCTAAATATAAAATGACAGACCAGAATAACATCAGTAATCTAGAAAAACATTCGGCTATTGCAATGCATGCATATACACACACCTATATAATAAGATGGATGGGATAAAACCACTGTACTTAAGTCAAGTATAATTAGGTCGAGAGACAGGGAGAGATTGATTACTGAATCTTTGTTCATCGAATCAACACCTAATATATGTAATGGAAATGATGTAACATGTACACCCAAGATATAGAGAATCTGACTAGCAATAAAAACAAATAATATGAGGTGGGTGATATAATTATAAAAATCGAATGTGGAAAGTTGTGTGATTACATTGACATGATAATGAAATCTGATAATTTATGCTCGAAACATCCTTATCAATTGAATAATACTGTAGCACTATATGTTATAAATCAAATTAACGAATCTACTTAGGAATTAAATTTTACCACAGTGCCCTTAGTTTTGCGCATATATTAAAGGAAATCAGAATATATAGGAAAGTCAACAGTAAGCCTATTTCAGTCACTGACAACTTCTAGCTGTGAGAATGCATTTCGATTGCTATGGAATCTACCTATTGAATCTATTTGAGTAATCATCTTATTCCTGTCAGAAAGATAATATCAATCACTTGTTTTTCATCAAAATTTCAGCACCTTGAATAACATTCTGTGAGTAAATAAATTGACTGATAATTCTTATGAAGGAATATGTTTATCACAACCAAACTGTAGTTGTTTGGGCATGGTTTGAATATTCTTGGTTGTATTGTTTTCTCTGAGCTCAGAGAACACAATACAACCAAGACCATCCACCTGAGCTACAAATATTCTCCATTATTTCATAGTTTGATTGTTGATTTCTAGCATTTGGAAAACTGATGAGTCTAAACAAGCATAGAAGCTGGAGGCAAGTGTACGCTATTCACTAATTCTGAGGTGAAGTTTTGTTAATTTGAGGTTGAATTTTTGTATTCACCTACAGCATTCATCGTTGTATCCAGCCTTCACCTAGATTTGACCAGCAGTAGATTACCCATTAGGATTTTTTTATTTAAATGTAGAAGTAAATCTTAAACGCTGTGGTAGAGTATAATTCCATGTAAGGTGGTTTATTTGATACAGCGCATAGGGATTCAATATAATTTACTGGATGATATTGCGATCAGAATTTTTGCGCAAATTCACATCAAAGTCATTGGTTGGATGTTAGTGAGAAGGAGAATTTTAGCAAATCACAGATTTCAATTCAGACTAGTGATGATTTTCGCTGACCACTGAATTGTCACTAGAAACATGCCAACCGACTCTTCTAAGTGCTATGTCAGTTATCTTAATTCGAGGGGTAACGTAGATATTATTATGCTTGGTAGATGGGAATTAAGCGTGATAAACAGTCATGATTTCTGGTAATTCCTTTTCCACTTATCATGATATGCATTCATATCATCTGGCGATTAAAAGTTCACAATTTCATTAGCATATAACAATGAGCAATCATAATGATTTTGAAGTAACGCTTTTGTTTCGAAAAGAAATTTGAGGTGATGAAGTGAGAAGACTAGAAGACTGAATTCTGAACTTGATGATTCTAAATGTAGAAACGTAGTACGTTACGATTTCCGCTTCAATTTTTTTTCGAAAATGTTCTTCTTAATTTACAAAATGCATACTTTATTCATTGATACTTAATTTATGACTTTGTGTTTCAACAGGAGTTACTTTATAGGCAGTAAATGACAAGGTAAAGTAACGCGTTATATGCGCCACAGCATTCAAATATGATACGAAGAATGAAGACAGTGAGATTCCACTTGAAATTGATATACTTTTCTACTATATACCTTGTTTTTGATACTATATTGCATTACATTAATCTGTAATTCTTGGAAATAATTGTAATGAAATAAATTTATGTTAAGTATATATATTGAATGAATGGAACTATGCAAACTATGCATGAAGTAAGATAATGATTTCAAGAAGTAGTGAAGGTAATTTCAAAGTGCAGAATTTACCTCTCTTTGAAAAGTTATGTATTTAATCATTCTGTAAAGGATTCTGAATAGAAATTTGATAGCATAAACATAGCGATTGCCCAGCCTGTAAATCATGAATTGTTTGATGGTTTGGAATATGATCGGCTTTCGATATGTCTTGAAGCAATCTATTTCCTCGTCTATTACCAACCAGGTTAACAAAATGGTAAATTAAGTAGAAGACGTAATCTGAATCCTCTAACAGTCAGTATTACTAAGATTCAAGTTGTTTGCCATTCTCTAGGTTCATTTCGAATTATTAGCTACACCATGTTACTAAGTACAAAATGAACGCTAATCTTGCCAACTACAGCTGTTAACTCACAACTTGCTTGGATGTATATCGCAGTTTTTAGCATTTACTGAGATGTATGCTTTCGGAAGGCGCAAACTGCTTACTCCATAAACAACTATAGAATGTTAGCCTATTGTTCTTTGTTCACCAGCATCTGTACACAACATCGTCTATATACGAATAAAAGTATCCAGTTCGTTTTACTTGAGACGTCTGTGCTTGAGTTTGGAAAGCGGTGTTTTTTATTTGTCTAAGATGAGCTCGTAATCGAAATATCATTACTATTGGTAATATTCTTGGTGTCATTATTTAGGGCTCAAAGTCCAAAGTCATATGACAAAGCCAAACTGGAAAGATAGTTCACCCTGTGGGATACTTCATGTTAACCATCAACCTCTGGGCGGGATTTCGATTCCTGGAGGTAAAACAAATCAATGGTAAAAATCCTTGTGAATTCAGGTCAACTCAAGGCGACTGACTATAAGTCACAACTCTATTGCAAACACCGATGAAATCACTTGAGGAAAAGTAGATTCAGTACATGATAGTAGAAGTATAAGAAATGAAGATTTGAAAAGAGTGAGAGGAGCCCAAAAATAATTAAGACGCAGAACGTGGTAAATATCAATACATTAGTGACACTTCGTACTTTGAATATGAAAGTTCAACGAGGAAACTTTCAATGTCATTCTTGGCAAGCTATTCTGTGCAAACTTCAGAAAGACGCAAGCTGCTACCATTCCTACCTTTGCTATTCTTAGATGGTTGATGTGATGACCATTGTTGTGAGATGCTTTTTATGTTGTTATCTCACTTTAAGTTGTTCACGTATTCCGCCAGCATATCCACCTGAATTGAACTCTTCCCTGTGTGTTGTTCTTCATGTTTCGGATTTGAATATGCATTCAGTCAGTTACAAAGCGCCTGTTTCTCATTGACCAGACTAAGAAAACAATGAAAATATCAGCAAGAAACCGTCGTGATCACAAAGACAGATAAACATCACGAGAGAACTGGCAGTTTAAAGGTAGGATACATTAATTTTTTTCATTCCATACGAGATAGAAAGCAAAGATAGAACAAACACATTTATACATATATTCCCATTTGTTAGCTAGAAAGGAGCTATGACAAACATTGAGGCAGAAAAAAACAAAGTCATTTTATTATTTCAGTAGCACTCTTCAGCTGCTAACAACAGAGAATATATTCACAATGACAAATTACAATAAAATATTTACTTACTTCAACTTCCCGAGAACAGAACCACGACATATCAAATCGAGGAATTCGTTCAAACTGAAATAAAGTCAAAATATAATGTAATGATATCATATATATGCACCGGATTAGAATGAAGATTCTCGTAAATATCAGAAGATGTCGAAAAACGAATAATGTGGAATGTAGAAAAAGAAATTACAGAAACCAGTCAACAGATATGTTTTTGTAGAAACCAGAAAACTAAGTTTCTTAGATAATAATCATTAGAACTCAGCTGATTAAAATTGAAATGTAGAGTGAAATTATGATGAAGTGACATAAAAAAAAGTAGCAAAATAAGTGGGAGGTTAGAAAGTATTTAGAGTTTGAGGACGGGTTGCTTTAACGTTTTATGAAACGGCATTGGCGAAGAGAAGTTGGTTTGTTCTAATTATTCTGTTTGCTAATTAGTTTACATGACTTCAGGGTATCTGACTGATGTTCTGTGACATCTAAGAACTTAACAGTTGCAGTGTTGAGCATCCTCGCTCCTCTTAATCGTTGGCATTTCAAGACACTCAAATTTTCGAATTTAAGCCATACTTTCTGTTCTCTAGATAAAAGTGTCTCGACAGATACACATGAACCGATTAAAGTATTAAAGTTTATTATGTGAAAAAAAATATCTGGCGTTACATAAGCTTCCGGTCTGGACTCAGGAAAGAACACGAAAATGAATGCAATTTTGGTTGTAGTAGTGCTTACTGGGTCAGCAGATTGATGAAGTCAGAAGACAACCTAGTCTGAAGCCGCACACAGTCAGTCCCGCTAAGAATATGAATCAAGCTACTGCTTATTCCCGAATTTTTGATTCGAATTAACTACCATACCATATTATACGGAACGAGACGTACAATGATGTTGCCAACTACTAACTCTTTAAACACACAGTTTGCTCAATTGTATTTTGTAAGTTCCAGAGCTTACTGATATCTGCTTACAGAAGCTGTTACTTGCTGAACTCACAAACAACTGCAGAATGTCAAATAGCTGATGCTCGTTTACCGACTTGCTTGCATTATGTAGAATAAATCCGAATATAAGTGTTTAGTTTGTCTAACTTAAGACTTATCTTGGTAATAAGTCATGTGTCTGAGTTTGGGGAACGATGATTTGTATTCTACAGAGATAAGTTAATGATCAACGGTGATGAGTGAAAGCCATCAGTGTAAAAGAAATCCGTGAATCGCTTAGAACTCTGAAGCCACACTTCGTCACGCGTTTTGTAATAAGTCTCAAGAAATGATCATTGCAGGTAAGATTCTTGCTGTCATTACTTAGGAATTGAAGTCGAAAACAATCATATGAGAAAATCACATAGAAAGACACTTAGCCTTATAAGAGGTATGATGACGGTCATCAACATCCATGCAGAATTCTGTTCGCTGTAGGTTAAACATATAAATGATAATAATTCACGTAAACTCAGGTCAAACCAAGATGACTGACTATGAGTCACACTTTTGTGCAAAGACCAATGAAATTACTTGATGAAAAGTAGATTCACTCAGAGCGTAATATATTTTAATATTTCAGGGGTATTTCCTAATTGAGTTTGAACATTCAGCAGTTAAGATTTCAGTATTGTTCTAGACAACACAGTCTGCGCGGACTTCAGAAAAAAGTGGTGTATGTGAATTTCTCCTTACCGTACTACTAGTTGGTCGCCGTAATGACCATTTATGTGAATTGTCTTTTCCACTATCATCATTATTTGCTCACATATTTCGCTTGTCTGTCCTGCTAACAAGAACTCTCACCTTTTTTAATATTTCTCATGTTCGTGTTTTATATGCTGTTTCGGCCACTGCCAGTATGCTTATTGGAGGCCGAGTAGATCAGGTAAGAACGAAAGCATCAGAAATGAGGCCATCAAGATGAGAAACATATGCGTAACGAGTTAACTAGCAACCTAAACATACAAAACGTAGATTCTCCCTTTCATCCGGGATGGTAGACCAAGATCATGAAGACACCTTCATACATATATTTCAATTTATAAATTTGAAAGGAGCCAGACCATTCTTTGGAGCAGACTAACATAAATCTATTACATTATTACGTTGGTAATTATCAGCTGCTTACAACATAGAATATTCACAGTAAAAAATCGTATTCAATGCATTTCATGACAGTTTTCATCAAGCAAGAAGATATACTTAGGTGAAATCCAATCCGCTGACACTTGAGCATCACATATGTATTGCTTTTTGAATTAATCAAATGAGTGATATTTGTTCGATTGACACAGCGTAAACAAAAGCCTACTGATTATCAAATAAGGCGTTTTAAAATAAGCAATCAGTGATCAGAAATCTCACCACACCTCATGTTACATATAATCTTCACGATACCACAGTTGTGATTGCGAATGGTTTAAGACCATTCATATCGGTCAGTGGGTTACACGTACAAAAGCCAGTTGATTGCATTCAGGAATTTGAATTGTTTCGCTATCTTTTCATCACATCGATATATATGTGGCAAAGACGATACTGTTTATCTTGGTAAAGATCTTCAAGTGGATGCAATCAAGTTACTTTGGAAGCAATCTGTTAATTGAAATCCTACAGCATAGCTAAGCATCAACGTTTTGCTTCCCAGTACTTCCCAATACTTGTCCTGAAGGTGGCGCTTATGCATTCTGTTTTCATAAAAGTCACTTCACAATTTACTTTGAACAAGTGAAGATATTCAGGGTTACATTAGAGCTTTGATAGAACTCAACTCCCTTGATTTGAAACCTGGATAACGACCAGTTTGGTTGAAGATATAGTATTCAGTAACATGTTCAGACTCCTTTATACTGTGCTGTTGATACTGCATAAACTTTTGACTAAATATGATGAAAGTTTTATGATGCGTTACTTGCAGGGTGTTGGATTTGTTATGAGAGGTCTAAATTGAGAATGCAGTTTTCTAATGATTGTCTACTTAAAAGGGAAATCAAGTGAAGATATATTTTGGTTGCATATCAATGAGTGGTGATACCAGAAGTGGCGCAATTTCAAAAGTGGAAAACCCAATGAGAATCTGGATATCTTCATTTCTCATGCAAAAACAATTTATGAATTACATGTAAAATATGATTTGCCTGAAAGATCACGTTGTACTTCGTATGCTTCATTGTGATTGGTCAGTGC